TTGACAATGATTCTGATGAAATGCTAGGAATGCCGTCATCATCGGCCCCGCCGATACACCGTTCGAAGATGGCACATTCCGCCTGGTCATGAATTTTGAAGAACAATACCCCAACAAACCCCCGGGTGTGAAATTCATAAGCCAAATGTTCCATCCTAATGTGTACGGGACCGGCGAGCTCTGTCTCGATATTCTGCAGAACCGCTGGAGTCCGACATATGATGTGGCGGCTATTCTTACTAGTATTCAAAGGTATCGCTGGCTTGTCTATGAAAGATCACTATACAAATTCTAATGTGCGGCTCGTCAATTCTAGTCTTCTGAATGACCCCAACACCTCGTCTCCGGCCAACGTCGAGGCCTCGAACCTCTACAAAGACAACCGTAAAGAGTACACCAAGCGAGTGCGTGAGACGGTCGAGAAAAGCTGGGAGGACAACTGAGACTGAGCAGTCTCATTTGCTCAGCCGAGTTCGATGCGCTGATATTCGTACGAATGGGCACAGCAGCTTGACCTTTTGATCTGCACAGCATGGGGTTTATGGCGCTTGGTATCTTATTCTTTCAGTTTGTGTATTCTTTTCTCTCCCCACTTTTTTTTGACGTTCTTTTCTTTTCATTTCATGTTCTCTCTCTTTTTTGATATCTCTAGCTCATGCTTTTTCCTCCTTCACCAAGTCATGTCATCCGAGTTTACAAGATTAGTCACATAGTTTTAGTGCATTAGCCTGCATTTCCTGCAAACCTTGCGCTTTGATCCTGTGACGTGTTCGTTGTAAGGAATATAAATGGGCGTGCAAGTAAACAAGACGTGCAATCATATGCTTCATTGTATAGTTCCCTATACATTAAGCTTATCTGCAGGATGGTTGCATATCCGAGTCCGGGGGCGGTAAGCCCAAACGGGGTCACAGTCAACAGTTGAAATCCCACTCTTTCGCGTCAACCCCCTCCCCTGCAAAGTCCCATTGTAGGTCTTCTTGGTTTGGCCGTCCTTTCTTTGCGGCCTGACTGCTGCTTTATCTTTCTCTTCGTTCCTTGCTCGTTTTGGTCCACGTTGCACGTGGACCCCCTGACCCTTAAACCCCTCCTCCGAGCCACTACACCGCAACAGACGAGTTTCCATTTGAAACGCCTCTGACGAACTTCGCGGCCCACCTACCCCTTTTTGGGCTCTATCTTCTAGCTTGCGCGTGTCATAGCCAAGTCACTCTACAAATATGGCGTGAGTACGCTCGGCCCTATCGTGCGTTGGCCATCACTAATATGGTTCCACAGGTCCGCGGGGTCGAACACCATCAAGGGTATGCACAGACTGGCATAATAAAATAAAGTGCGTTCTACTAGGACTTGGACTGATTGGCCATATATAGTGGTTGCTAGGTTCCGTCCGCAAAACAAGGTCGAATTGTCCTCTGGGGGTAAGCCCATTGTCGAATTCGAAAATGAAGAGTCATGTAGCATCAATGTGAGTCCGAACTGAAGCCATAACTCACGAGGCTATACTGACGGAATTCTAGTCCCGAGAGAACACAGGGGCCTTCACGTTTGATCGGGTGTTCCCTATGGACACCGCGCAAAGCGATATCTTTGACTTCTCTATCCGACCGACGGTGGACGATATTTTGAATGGATATAATGGAACAGTTTTCGCTTATGGTCAGACTGGTGCTGGAAAATCATATACGATGATGGGTTCCGACATCGATGATGACATAGGGAAGGGTATTATTCCACGCATGATCGAGCAAATCTTCGCCAGCATCCTGACCAGCCCGAGCAACATCGAGTACACCGTGCGGGTCAGCTATATGGAAATTTACATGGAGCGGATCCGTGATTTACTCGTGCCCCAGAACGACAACTTGCCAGTTCACGAGGAGAAAGCTCGTGGAGTTTACGTTAAAGGATTGCTGGAAGTCTACGTATCTAGCGTGCAGGAGGTCTACGAAGTTATGCGCCGGGGAGGAGCAGCACGCGCCGTCGCTGCAACCAATATGAACCAGGAATCGTCCCGCTCCCACTCCATCTTCGTGATCACAGTCACCCAGAAGAATGTCGAGACTGGGTCTGCTAAGAGTGGCCAATTGTTTTTGGTTGATTTGGCTGGTAGCGAAAAGGTCGGAAAGACCGGCGCAAGTGGCCAGACTCTGGAGGAGGCCAAGAAGATCAACAAGAGTTTAAGTGCGCTAGGAATGGTAATCAACGCATTGACCGACGGCAAATCGACACACATTCCTTACCGTGACTCCAAACTCACTCGAATTCTCCAAGAATCCCTCGGTGGTAACTCTCGAACGACTTTGATTATCAACTGTTCGCCTAGCAGCTACAACGATGCGGAAACAATCTCAACCTTGCGTTTTGGTGTGCGCGCCAAGGCCATCAAGAACAAGGCTAAGGTCAATGCAGAGCTGAGCTCCTCGGAGATGAAGCAACTGCTGCGCAAGGCGCAAAGCCAAATGACGAATTTCGAAAGCTACATCTCAGCGCTTGAGGGCGAAGTCAGCCTGTGGCGTAGCGGTGACAGCGTTCCCAAGGACCAATGGACCCCCTCTCGAGGAAACGAAGTTGTCAGTTACACGAAGGCTGAAGCCCGCGGCCCACGGCCGAGTACGCCTTCACGTCTGCAGGAGACTGCGCGTTCAGAAACCCCGCGCCCAGATTCACGGGTTGGAGATCGGTCCAGCACCCCCAGCCTGGTGCTGGAGAAGGACGAGCGCGAAGAATTCTTGCGTCGTGAGAATGAATTCCAAGACCAGCTTTCAGAGAAGGAGTCACATATTGTCAACGTGGAGCGCAGCCTCCGTGAGGCACGCGACGAGCTTAGGTCCATGAAGGAGAATGGCGCGCGAACCGGCAAGGATAATGAGCGCTTGGGCACAGAAGTCAACGAGCTCCGTATGCAGCTCGAGAAGGTCTCCTATGAGAGCAAGGAAGCCGCTATCACCATGGATAGCCTTCGGGAGGCCAACTCGGAACTCACAGGCGAGTTGGATGAAGTTAAGCAGCAGCTTCTGGATGTCCGAATGAGGGCAAAGGAGACTACTGCAGCACTTGATGAGAAAGAAAAGAAGAAGACTGAGAAAATGGCTAAGATGATGGCTGGGTTTGACCTCGGTGGCGACGTGTTCTCCGATAACGAACGCAAGCTGCAAGACCTCATCCAGCGCGTCGATGCTCTACACCAAATCAGCTCTGCAGGTGAACTCATTGCACCAGACGATATTCTTGACCTTCGCACGAATCTTGTCGAGACGCAAGGCTTTATCCGACAAGCCGAGCTGACCGTGAACGACCGAAGTGACTTTGGTGAGCTGCAGGACAGCCGCCGTGCAGACTTGGAAAAGAGGCTAGATGGCCTTCAACGAGAGTATGAAGATCTCTTGACGCGCAACTTGGGCGAGGGCGATGTGGAAGAGATCCGAGGAAGGCTAGAGCACGTTTACGTGGCAAAGAATGAGGCTGAGACTGCGGCGGCCGCGGATCTTCGTTCTGACATTTTACGCAAGGATGAAGAGTTGACCAAGTTGCGACAATCGCTTGTCGACAGCCAGTCCCGGACCTCCACCAATGGTGCCGCAAGCAAGACCTTGCAGCAGCAGATTACCGAGTTCGATGCCATGAAGAAGTCTCTCATGCGTGACCTGCAGAACCGCTGCGAGCGTGTTGTAGAGTTGGAAATCTCCCTGGATGATGCACGAGAGCAGTATAACAACGTCCTTCGATCGTCGAACAACCGGGCTCAGCAGAAGAAGATGGCGTTCTTAGAGCGCAACCTCGAGCAATTAACCCACGTGCAGCGTCAACTTGTGGAACAAAACAGTAGTTTGAAGAAGGAGGTGGCAATCGCTGAGCGGAAACTGATTGCAAGAAATGAGCGTATTGCCAGCCTGGAAGCCCTGCTCCAGGAGAGCCAAGAAAAGCTTACCCAAGCCAACCACCGGTATGCGTTGACTTATTCTCCCTGATTTCGCTTGTTGATACTCGATACTAACTACGCTGATAGATTCGAAGCTCAACTCACCGCTGTTAAGGAACGTCTGGAAGCAGCGAAGCAAGGTTCCACCCGCGGCTTACCGAGCATGGATGGGAATGCGAGTTTTAGCTTCGGGGGATCGCGCATCGCGAAGCCACTCCGCGGGGGTGGTGACGGGCCGGCGAATTCGAACGTTGCGGGCGTACAATCGCAAGAAGCGCCCGGGAAGCGCAGCAGCTGGTTTTTTGATCGCCGATGATCCTAACCCACTGTCAGAAGGCTGCTCGTCCCTTGCGCAACTGCTTCTGAGGCTTGATAGCTGTCTGCCGTGCACCCCGGACCTCGTGCAATTCGTGCTTGTTTCATTAGCATGTGGTTGATCTGGGCTGATATTGATCTATATTGATTCCTCTTTACGCTGTCTCACGAGTTTCTTCTATTTTTTGATCATCTGATCAACAGGCTTTTCTTCTTGTTTCTGATATGATTTTGATACATATTTCCTTTCCCATGTTTCCTTGCCTTGCTCATTCCAGTATATTAGATCGCGCCCTGCATGCCGGGGACTGGCTCTTGCGTCTTCCCGATACCCTTGTACATCAATTCCAGATAGAATGGAGAAGAGCTGGTAGTTAGTCTGCTGGGCCGACTTGAGTGATTTTGATGTGACATACTATACTCCGTATACGAGGCGACAATGGACTGGTTCGATCCTTATCAAAGCCAGCGCACCATTCCCACTCTGCCTAAAGGAGGTTGTCGTCTTTGGAAGAACACAGCGTCAAAGTCCGATCAAAGTCAAAGCCAAGTTGACAGACACTACCGTATACATACACTTCACTACCAAGGTTGTACTTGTCTCAAATATACAAAAGATATGAGGGGGTAATCAAAAATATGACAAGAGGAGAAAAAAAAAGTAAAGAAACAGAAAACAGATAAGACAGAGAATATGCAATGCAACCCCCTCGCCCGTCCAAAAAAGAATGCCTCACATTGCGCCAGTATTCGCCCAAGCAATCTAAACTAATCCGTCGTAAAGCGACAAAGCACTGACGATGGTTTCATCCCGTTTGCTGCCTTCTTTGAACTCGTCGATGTCAAGACTGCCATTTTCATCCTTGTCCATCATGCGGAAGATCTTTCGTACGCGTTTCTCTGGGGTATCTTCATCCTCGGGGAGTTTCACCATGGATCCAACCTGTATACTCATTAGTTCTTTTAAGGGTATCGTGATTTCACGAACTGCATTGTGCATACCATCTTATAGATCGCCTCGACAATGGCCAGCATTTCTTCATAGGTGATTTTCCCATCGCCGTCAATATCGTACAATTGGAATGCCCAATCCAGTTTATCCTCCATCTTGCCTCGCGAAGTCACGGAAAGGGCGCAGATAAATTCTTTGAAATCGATCATACCACTGTTGTCCGAGTCGAAAACGCGAAAAACATAATTGGCAAAGGATGACGGGTCGCCGAAGGGAAAGAACTGCCGGTATATTTTCTGAAACTCCTCCTTGGTCAGAGTACCAGACGGGCAGTCCTTGAGAAATCCTAGACATGCCCATAATCAGCGATCGCTCTTGAGACTTGATGTTTCGTATGTTTCCCATATATCCGCATACCTTTATACCATTGTTGTAGCTCCTTCTTATCGAAATGTGTTGCCCTTTGCAGCTCATCGAGCTGCGTCGGTGAAAGCTTAGATTGACTGTAGAATGTGAAACACGAGGGTCAGCGCAGGGTTCTCCTTTGAATGTAGGCAGGGTATTCAGCGTGATTCTCAGACCAAAAGTACGGGGCCTTTGGTACTGGCTTGCTCCCGAGATGACGCGCATCCTGAGATCCGCGGAGTCCGTTCCACCGCCATTTCAAACAGGGTGAGAGGATGGTTAGAACTTACGACTTTCCCATGATCAAAAAATAGTTCTCTAGAACAGTATCAAGAGCAAGTTCAAAACAAATCTGGGAGTGATGGCTTGCAATGAGCCCGGAGTGGTGACGCGGGGTAGAAACAGGTGGGATGTGTGGCTGGGTTGTGGCTGAGTATGTCTGCGCAAGGGGGGCCCCGGCGACGTAAGAGGAAAGATATAATAAGGGGGTTAATACAAGAAATGCAGTTTCTAAAAGATAGAGAAGAGGTTGAAGGAGGCGAGAAAGGACGGAGGTCCAGAACATCCCGAGGCTGGGCTTGGCAGACAATCTCATTACCGCGTATATACATTTCTCCATATCAAACAACTATCTATCTGCCATGAGACCTCTCCAAGCATTGAGAACGATTCTTTTTTTGGAAAGAAAAGAAGGGCACAAAAACAGACACAAGAACAGGGTATGTCTTCTCTCGTGACCAAAAATGCAAGGCTAAATGTTACACCAATAGCAAAACCTTTAGTCCACCTTGATCGAGCCATAGATGCGGTGGATGAATGCCCAACTGGCGAAGAAACCAATGGAGCCTGGAGAGAAGTCAGCAAAAGAAGCCCATCCGCAAGACATGGGAACAAAAACATACCAGTCAGAATAAACACAATGAAGGCGATCAGCGCCGAATAGCCCACATAAAGCACTGCCCCCGTTAATCCACCAAAGCTGACCCGTGTCGCCCAGAAAATGAGCGCATTCAAAAAGACATATCCTCCGGTCATACCCGCGCCTATGAAGGCGCGCCAGTGCCACCGGTAGTTCTCTGCACACAACAAGAAATACACCAGCAAGACGGTAGTAGCCGCAGAGGTAATGATCATCAAGCCGTAGCAGAGGAACAGGAATCCGAACATGTAGTAGATCTTGTTGGTCCAGAGGGAGGTCATTATAAAGTACAACTCGACGAAAATCGCACCAAAGGGGAGAATTCCGGTCAGCAGAATCGATGGAATTGTGCGCAGGCTACCAGCCATCGGAGGAACCTGTCGAGGAATTTGGTTCGTCTTGGTAGGACCCTCAAGCGGCTATTGGGAAATGAAGTTAGTCATCGGAATGTCTGGATAACGGGATTGGAATTTGATAGTACCGATTGCTTAAAGCCCAACCAACTGCCTGCCACGCTCAATGGCACGCTGATAACAAACCAAATCAATACCAGTGCCAACATAGTTCCAAATGGTACGGCACCGCTAGATCCCTTGGCCCAAACAAAGAGATTCAGGATGAAGAAAGTACCGAATATAATGCCAGGTATAAATAGAGGTGTCATGATAATGTTGCGCCTCCAAGAATCGCCACCAAATGTCTTGTACACTCGCGCCGACACATAACCACCGATCCCACCGAAAAGGGCGGAAATTAGGAGAATGGCAGTAGCCAGGAATCCGCGGTTGGAAGGAGAGAGGAGACCAAGCAGGGCAAATGCTACAAATAAAAATCAGTACAAAGAGAAGAAGAGCGGGAGTCAGACTACTCACCGACAGTCACACCAGTCATCATAAATAGCTGGGCGCCGTTGCCAACCATCACACTCAGCAGCAACGGAGATTCGGGGCACCGGAAGACATCGCCATGGACCAACTTCCAGCCAGAATCCTCCTGGACTCCATCTTCGATCGCAGCCGAAGTGCTATCCAAATCCTCCAGGTTGAACGAATCCAGCCTGTTATAGCGAGCAATATCCTTCTTGAGCGCGCGGACTAGAATCATGCTGACCATACCCACGAGGAAAACCACAAAGACAGCCGAGTTGATGAGAGAGAACCAGTGGATTTTAGGGTCATAGACATGAAGATACTTATCCCACCGGGTAGCCCAGGCTGTGGGGGACTCCTTCCAGTACACACTATACGTCCAGGTGACTGTGGTCTCGCCGTCCTCATTGAGCGCGAGAACATTGCCCGGGGTACCACATTCAGCGGCCCCGCCTTCTAAATTCCGGGAGTCCTTGCGAGACTCAGGCTGGACAAGCACTCCAACCACGCGATATTTATCCTTGCCGCCAAAGCCCACCTTATGGTAATCAATCACAATGTCATAGTGATTGTTGAGCAGAGCCTGCCCATTGTCATCTAGCTCACCCAGAGAGAAGCCAGGGTTATAAAATTTGGTCTTGGTAACGCCGTCATAGTTCAACTGCGCGGCTGGCAGCCCATCCACAATCCAGTTAATGTTGTAGCCCTGAGCTATTCGTCGATTGGTCCACTTTGCGCTGCGGGCGTCGAATTTGGCCTCTGCACATATCGATTTGCAGGTCTCATTCTTTGCCATGTGAAGCTCGAATGGCGAGGTGCGAATGCGGTCACCGAATAGAATGCTCCCCAGGGATTCCCTCACATCTTTAGGACCATCTGCTGGTCGGCAGAATCCAAAAGCCGGATGATAGTAGTCATATGAGAAGACCGAATGAAGCTGGTCATCGCGAGAGAGGCTGGGGGTGAGGTGGTTGACATAAAGCGGAACTGCTTGTCCTTCGTCGTAGGAGGTCGGCGCAACACCCGGCAGATAAAAGGCCGTAGTCAAAGAAGGGATTGCTAGTAGGGTCGACGAGAGAAGAAAGGCTCGATCGGCGAACCGCATGTTGGGTGTTTCTATAGACTTTTGAAAGCCTAGAAACCAACCTCAATGGCTTGTTTCGGAGAGGAAAGGAGTAGAGCTAGTGTGTCAATGGGTGATTGTGAAAGAAAAAATGGTTGTTTACAACAAGCATCTACCATAGAAAGAGAAAATCACGTTCTCATCCGTGAGAAACTCGCGATACTCGAAGGGAGATAAAATGCGAACTGCGAGTGACAGACTGGCAATGACGATCGATCATCGAAGAGTGCCTTGGTGCCTTGTCTTTATCACACGTGACTGGCGTTATCGTCGAAGCGGCCAAATTTTTTTTGTTTCGCGAATTATTGTTCTCTATAAGCCATCAACTTTCAATCATGGCTCCAACACAGGCGTCTGCGCGCCCTCAAAGTCTACCGACATTGCTAGAGACTCTGAATAATTGTCTGTCGACAACTGCCTCCTCTCTACCCAAGCCACACAAGGATGCGCCCTCCGATGTCACGATCGAGCCTCCCAAAGACGGCATTTCTCTCCTCGACACCAAGAGCGAAATCCTTCTTTCCTACTTGCAAAATCTCGTATTTCTGATTATCTTCCAACTGCGAAATGTGTCAGCGAAAGAAACCCCAAAAGAGAAGAGCCAATCTACAGACAACTCCCTCGAAGATGATATTCGCAAGAAATTGATTGAGCTTCGGGTATTCCTCGAGCGTGGTGTCCGTCCTTTGGAAGGACGATTGAAGTACCAGATAGACAAGGTCATCAAAGCTGCAGAGGATGCGGAGCGGACAGAGAAGGCTCAGCCGACCAAGACCAAGAAAAGCCGCAAAGCTGCGACATCAGGCAGCGAAGCATCATCGGATGAAGACGAAGATGTAAACGGTAGCGAGAATGAGGAGGACATCGATGAAATGGCGTACCGGCCCAATGTCTCTGCCTTCTCCAAGGGAGTGGCCGAGCAGAAGAAGGCCCGTCCCTCCAAGGGTGCTGTCGAGAGTCCCGGAGACGGCATTTATCGTCCCCCGAGAATCATGCCAACTTCCTTGCCTACGACAGAGCGTCGCGAACGCCAGGACCGCAGACCCATTAGATCGAACGTCATCGACGAATTTGTCAGCGCTGAAATGTCGTCCGCACCCATGGCTGAGCCCAGTATCGGCAGCACAATCATTGATGGTGGCCGAACGGTCAAGTCAAAGAAGGACCGAGAGCGCGAGGCAGAGCGTACCACCTACGAAGAGACCAACTTTGTCCGATTGCCGAAGGAGACAAAGAAGGAATTGGCGAAACGAGGTCGCGGAAAGGACACCACGTACGGTGGTGATGAATGGAAGGGGCTTAATGAAGGCGCGGATAACATCGAACGTCTTACCCGGAGATCCAAAAGCAACGGAGCCGCACTCGAGAAGAGTCGGAAGCGAGTCCGCAACGAGGACGGGCAACGCGGTGATGGTGTCGGCATGGGCCAGGTTTTCGACAAGCGACGAAAGAAGGTTGACAGCTGGAAGCGGTAAAAAATGGTTGCAGGGGGCAATTCCCATGTGCAAAGGCGTTTCTTTCTGGAACTCAATCACTTTGGAGTTTTCTTGATTACCCAAGGTCCATCTTGACCAATGCATATATGTATCTACTTCTACGACATATATCGAATGGTATGATCTCACCGGATCAACTCGGTCTACTGTCTACAGCTGTCCACGGGTGGAAGTTTATATTCTACGTCTCACCGCCGGAATATAATGACTCGGCATGCCGATAGAAAACCGGCATCTGGTGTACCCTTCTAGGGCTGGCAGAAATACAATTTTTGATAGTTATGAGCTCTATGAATTATGTCACATCGATCGAAAGAAGAGGTCACGTAATTAAAAGCAACTCATTTGATTGGCGTAGCTTCCAACCGGTGTGACTCCGACGAGATTCACGTGTTAAACCCCGACCTGGATAGTCGAACATGACGTCACCGTATCACCCGAAGCTAGTTAACTACCTCTTTATATCTTCTCTTTCTTTCTTTTCCAACAACGCCTTTGAACGTTTTGACCAAAATGGAGAACCCAGGTGCGTTATCGATCTGATATTTTGGATTCATCAGCTAATTCCTTCAGTGGCTGATATACCTACCGTTATCCGGGGTCTAACACAGTCGCCGCCATCTTTTCAAGAAACCGTCCTTCACCGGTATTTTACCAACAATGTATCCTTTACTCATCCATTCTGCCGTGTGCCCAGCTTTGAAGGTAGCAGATGGTGGGTTTCAAAGATATTTCAATGGTATAAGATCATGTCACCCCGGATCGAGCTAGAGATCCATTCTATTGGTATGTCAACAGGAAACTTCTAAGGTTGTGGACTTCATAATTTTGACTTCAGACTCTGATAATTCTTTAGCTTTTGATGAAGATAAACTCAAACTCTATGTGAATATGTCACAGATCTTCACCATCTGGCTTGTTCCCTTCCATGTCGCTCCGGTGACTCTCACTACGGTCTTGGACCTGACGTACGATTCGGTCAAAAGCGATGCTACGACCAATGGCGACCACAAGCTTTACTACATTTCCAAGCAAGAAGATCTATATCAAACATCGGAGTTTGTCAAGTTTATCATGCCGCATATCGGGTATTGGATTATTTTTGGTTGGCATCTCATTGCAAGCCTTTTCTGTCTCCTGGGTGTGACTTTGCTATGGCCTATACTCTGGCTAGAGGAGAAGCGTTATATCCCCGATCGCTTTTTGCGAGGGGGAAATTGGGCTTACAATATGGAGAAGAAGATTCCAGAAATTAAAGGGCAATGATGGAGTTGATTTTCTATCTTCAGGTGGATATTGTTGAACGTGAGCGCTATGTCTGTCCTTGCGTTTCTCGCCTATTTTACCGTATACCCCTATGTAGTAAAAGTTGCACACCTAACTAACTGGAAACCCGATCCTGACGTTCAGATGAATATATAAGAAAAGATCGACAAGCTATCGGACAAAGCGCGGGAACACACCAACAGACTTCTGGCTAAGCTAGCCGAAGAAGGAGAGGACACGGCCCAGGCGTACTTTGCGGTCTTAGTGCTTTTATTTTACATACAATACATGTGTCTTATGCAATTGTCTTCCAAGCCGAACCAACCAGCCAAATTTCCATTCAAGCCATGACCTTCCCAGCTTTCAATGCACATGTATCCTCATCATGACACTGAGTGAATATCATAGCAACCCAATTCAATCAGCTTTCTTTGATTCGGGCTGTTTCTTCAGCTCCCTGCGGAACGAGTTCTCTTGCTCCACAAACCTCATAGGCAAGCCACGGCCAATACCAAAGAACACGAACAACGCCCACTTCCAACGGAACGGGTTAACGACAAGGACGAAGAAGTACCAGTAGATTAGTTCAGCATAGGTAAAGAAGTCAAATGCTCCCGTGGGCGCCAGACGCTTCATGAACCTTGTGAAGTCAATCCAGGTCTTCATCCACATTTCAGTGGGTCTGGTCAATGGGTCGGTTAGGAACATGAGAAGGAATCGCGTGTAGATTCCAATATGCATATTGCCCACTGTACCAATCGCATCGACGTAGGTACTATTGTTTGCGCAAATATCCGGGTACTTGGGTGGGAAAACTTGAAGATACCAATTAGGCGGTCCGTAGGGTTCATCGAAACACTCATTGGGCAAAAAGGTTAATGAAGGCCGTTTGAAACCAGTTGCCATGACGATGATATCTCCCTCGACCAGTTGTTCATGGCCAGGTCCTCCCTTTGGGACGCCTTTAGATCGATAATTGAACACCACACCGTTCTCTTCCACAGAAACGATGTCACCTCGTAACCAGTGGGCTTTGCCCTCGCGGATCTGGTTAAACAACTCGTCGTTGGCCATCGGAGTCCCGGTAAATATTCCCTTGTCTGTCGGCGCAATGTCTTGAAGATCACGATAGAAAAACTTGCGCAGCAACCATTCAGGAATCCACGAAAGTGATGTTTCCTGACCGAAGATGTTGCATGCAAGGAGAGACTGCACCAGTATGTTGCGAGGAATAATCCATTTATCGGACCGAGAAAGGACATCAATCTCGGCAGCCTCATTTTTGACGGCGAACTCCAAGGCCTCAATGGCGCTAGCACCGCCTCCCACAATGAGCACCTTTTTGCCTTTGGCATTTGTGCCATCCAACTCGGAGGAGTGGTAGATTTGGCCCTTGAACTTTTCTTGGCCGGGTAGCGGTGGCATTTTAGGATCTCCACAAACGCCTACCGTGGCCAAGATGCCGTCGAAGCGGCCATACTGCTCTTCGTCATCGTTGATGATCCACTGGCCATTCTCGGTCTTTTTCACGGACGTGACTTTAGTCTCGAAGGCAGTACGTCTTTCCAGATCATATCTCTTCCAAACATCAACGATTTGCTGTTTGATCTGTTGCTGGGTGGGATATGCGCTGTCGAACTGGACCGAGGGATGGAAACGGTACATGACGCTGTGGACCTGTAATGCAGAGGTGGAATTGACTCTCTGTAAAAGTATTAGCAGGTATTTTAACTAGGAATAAATAGAAATCAAGAAAACTCACACTCCAGATGCCTCCCAATCCTTGTTCTTTGGGTCTGGATTCAAACAATTGAACATCGAAGCCATTGCCAACACAGTGGGCAGCCGAAGACACACCGGTTAGGCCTGCACCAATGACCGCGACTCTCTTTCGAGGAAGATTTGGATTCAAAGCTGCAGGGGGCGGGGGTATAGGAGAAAATATGTAAACCAACACGGCTTGTATAACCATGTAGAGCCAGGTAAAGGTCTCTACGAATGGATGCCGGATAAAGGCCGAGAGCGCCGAGAGAAAAGACTCAGAACCCATACTTCTTGCGTGAATGGAAATTAGGATCAATTGGGAAGGACAAGAAGAATCGAAATATTTGTACTTCCCATTCCCAGCTCTGTGACGTTATGCTCTCCTTCACATGTGATCGTTAGTCCAAGTTATATGACATCATAGGAAGGATCCTGGTTTGGCCGCACGTATGGAGTATCGAGCCCTGGAGGTAGACTATACTTAGATAACTTATGCTATGCTATGTCATGCTATGCCATGCTATGCTAGAAGTAGATATTCTCCATAATAGTCTCCACGTAAGGAAGTCCCATGTGATATTGGTGTATGTATCTTGCCCGGCTTTGTATGGGGACTATACTACTGACTGACAAAGAAGTCTAGTTTTCTGGGATATCACTGTGTTTCAAGTAGGTGAAAATCTTACCTATTATCCATGACTTCTATGGAAATAATAATATATCCATCCTATGTTGCATATTATACGGAGCATAGATAGATGGTAGAAAGACAATCCGAGTGAAGTGGCACCAATCCATTTGAACCAAATCAGAACTGCTATCATAAATTATATATTGATTGAATCCCCACTAAAGCACCCAATGTCTTCACGAAATTGAATAGAATTGAAATTGAATCAACTCCCCTCGTTGGACACTTGTATACAAAGGGCGGTCACGGGTTCTGCCATCAATGCCGTCAACAGACGAGCCTCTTGACTCTGTGACCCGCCAGTTGGGTTTCTTTGAACGTTGAGAATGCCAAACGACACAATGATCGTTCAATCAAATTAATTCTTCTGGTGCGACTCTACCAGTTAACCGAGTATCTCGCGCTTTCAACATGAGTCAAACACCTGTCCTCGACCAATTCCTCGGCAGTTTGCAGGAATTGGTCCAGAAACGCGATGGCGCCAAAGTCCAGGACTTTCTTCAGCTCGAGCCGCCACTCTCGGACATTTACCAGCGCATGATCAGTGAACTACGACAGAATTATGGCCCGGGCCCCAAAAGTGACGCCGAACTTCTTCGACGATGCGAGCCTCTCGTACCGCGATCCAAAAGTAGCTCATGGACGGCGTTCCCGACTTTCGTCAAGCTCTACCTGATATTCCTACGCGATATGAACACAGATAACCTATTGGAAACATACAACCAATTGAAGGCGCTGCTCAAGTAAGTTTTGCTGCCCTCGCGAAGAATTCTGAACGCACTCTGTCCCCGGTCGAGGATTCTACTCATGTCTTTGGGCTTGAAAGCTGACTCGACCGTATCGTTAACTGCAGTCAATGCGTGCTCGCACTCGGAGATAGTCAAATGGGTGTCGTCGTTCTTCCTACGGTTCTCTACTTGTCCAAAGTGCTGGCAAAATTGGCAATGGGCCTTGATCGTCGACCGGACCTGATCGCGCATATTCGACGAATGGAGGGTCTGGCGGCTCACGACGAGAGCATCGAGAAGGTAACTTTGGTGGAAAAATCGGCCAACGTGGTGCGCGAAGCGTTCATTAAGTGCCTCACCGATCGCACCGGCACTCCCGGCCCTACTGGTAAGCCGGAGGGCAAGCGCATCGGTATCTACCTCATGGCTAATCTCTGCCTCAAATTGCTCTTCCAGGTACGGAGGCCTATCCTTGAATATCTCACCTTCCCTTCGAATCTTGATGCTGACGGAACACAGTGCGGCAAACTACGCAACGCCGAGCAAATGTTTGCAAGCATCAGCGCCCAATCACCCCCCTTGGCCTACTTCCCAGCCTCACAGCGTGTCACCTACCTCTATTATCTCGGGCGCTACCTTTTCGCCAACAACCTCTTCTTTCCCGCCCGCATCGCTTTGCAGGCCGCCTATGACCAATGCCACCGCCAGGCCATAAGCCAACGACACTTAATCCTCTCATACCTCATTCCGTGCAACATTATCTTGGGACGATTTCCATCTCAGGCACTCCTTCGACGACCAGAAGCACAAGGATTAGCGGAACACTTCCAGCCACTGTGTCGATTGATTGTCCGAGGAGATTACCTGGCTTTCCGACAACATCTCTTCTTTGGCTCCCCGACTGCTCAGTGGTTTGCACATAAGGGAATTCTGTTTACCCTCCGAAATCGATGCGAGATTCTTGTATGGCGATCTTTTGCACGCAAGGTTTTCATGTATGGAGGTTCGTACGGAGGTCCGCAGGCGCAGGCGCACAAGGGACCTCCACCAATCCTCAATCTTAAAAAGCTCGTTGTGGCGACACGATGGCTCCAAGCGCAGCACGCAGCATCCGGAAATGGCCCGGCAAATGCTATGGCGTCCTCCAACTTTTATGGATCACAAGTCGTTTCCGAACCTACTGATCTCGACTACGCTCGCCTAGAAGGGGCAGATGGAAGGGCCAGCCCCGCCACTGATCAAGAGATACTAGAAAAATATGGTGATTTTTTAGCTCCGGATGGATTTTACACCGAAGAAGGGCGATCACAGCCCAATCCTCCGGGTCAACTGATCGACGGAGACCCGGAAGAGAATTATGGCGAGTACGAACTGGATCCATATGCGTATGACCCCGACGACAGGACAGAGGCAGACGTATCCATGATGCAAGAGATCGAATCGATTTTCGCATCGTTGATTACACAAGGGCTGATGGGCGGCTACCTTCTCCATCGTGAGCCTCGATTTGCCGTTCCTGGTGCCAGAATCAAAGGCATCTTGCCCACAGGATTCCCCAACGTCTGGCAGACCATATCTGGACGCGAGAGTCATGATTCCAGTGTTCCCGGTTGGGTACAGCCTCGAGCGCCTACAGTAGTTGGAGCAGCTGGAGGGGGTAGGGTGGTCAATCTCGCTGGAGCACGCCCAGTCGGCGTCCAATAAGCTCGGTTTTTCTATTTTGTTTCTATTTTCCTTTCTTTTTATGTTGATGATACCGATATTTTAGTTCTGAATTTGATTTGGTACAAACATGAATAGTAAATGTAGTCATCTCACACTCACTCGTCCGGCTCTAAATGCGGAGACCTCGGGCATTCTCCTCATTCCATTCTCATTCCATTCTCATCTTTCCCTTGTCTTCTTTTTGATTATTATTTATCATGGATCATACTGCCGCTGTACAAGAAATCTCAGCACGGGTAGCGGACTTCCACAGTCGCCAGCAACCATTTCGTATATATCATGGTGCTACCAACAGTACTCGGCCCTCCAACCGATCTCTCTCCAACACGGTCAGCACAGAACCTCTCACCCGCGTCCTCGAGATCGATGTCGCTCGACGTACAGCTACAGTCGAGCCCAATGTCTCTATGGATGCTCTAGTGGCTGCCACCAAGGCCCATGATTTGGTCCCTTTAGTTGTTGTCGAATTCCCCAACATCTCGGTTGGCGGCGGGTTCTCGGGGACATCCGGGGAGAGTAGTTCTTTCCGCGAGGGATTCTTCGATCATACAGTCAATTGGATTGAAATGGTCCTGGCAGATGGTCAGGTGGTGAAGGCATACAATGACCGCGTCGAGATGGGATCGGAACTGGCGGATCGACGCTCGGACTTGTTCTGGGGCGCCGCATCTTCCTTCGGGACCTTAGGAGTGGTCACCTTGTTGGAAATTCGATTGAAAAATTCACTGCCACTGGTGGAACTGAAATACTATGTCAATTCCAATATGGAGGACGCGGTGCGTGCCTTTGAAGAGGCTAGTGCTGATCCAAGCACTGAATATCTGGACGGAATCGTCTATGCAAGGGACAAGATCGTCGTTTGTGCTGGAAGACAAGTTGAACAGACTTCTAATGTAAAGCCTCGGCGCTTTACTCGGCGACAAGACGATTGGTTCTATTTGCACGTTGAACAGATTGCTCAATCCAAGATCTCCGACCGAGAGAATTCTCCTCACATGCCAGATGCAGTGGACTACATTCCTCTCACTGACTACCTTTTCCGCTATGATAGAGGTGGTTTCTGGGTTGCGCGTTATGCTTTTAGCTACTTCTGTGTTCCATTCACCTTTCTTACACGCTGGCTCCTCAACCGATTCATGCACACCAAGGTGATGTATCACGCCCTACACGTCAGCGGGCTTGCGCGTCGATATATTATCCAAGACGTCGGTGTACCAACATCCACTGCTGCCGAGTTCCTGGACTGGCTGGACCGCCCTGAAAACTTTGGCCAATATCCGCTTTGGCTCTGTCCGCTACCACCAGGAAGTGCCGGTGGTTTGGAAGGAAAGCCGGCAGATGACGACAAAGGAGTCGATGCACAGAGGACACGACTCCTCAATTTTGGAATCTGGGGGCCTGCCGCCACCACGGATGAGGTCGGTTTTGTGGCTCAAAATCGACGGCTAGAACATAAGGTCCACAGTCTTGGAGGAAAGAAATGGCTATATGCACATACTTACTATACAGAGGACGAGTTCTGGTCCATCTATAACAAGCCCGGTTATGATTCTCTGCGGGAAAAATACCATGCACAGCACCTTCCGTCTTTGTATGAAAAGGTCCGAGTGCATGAATCTGATCTCCCTGGTCCACATCGGGGGGAGTTCGAGAGTGGGTGGAAAGGATCGGTCAAACGTGCTCTGTGGGACGTCTGGCCATTTTGTGGTCTTTACGGAGTTTACAAGGCTTGGAGGGGAGGAGACTACTTGTTACGAAAGGAGGTTCCCAAGAAGAAGACCGACTGAATAGAATATATCGAAAACATTCAGGGTATCGATGCATTCCGTCCAGCCGGAAACGCCAGGCCATCCAGCGCATATGCATGATGCAATAGAGAACAGCAAATATGATGAAGACAAGAAAATCCCCGAAAACAAAAGGAAACCCAAAAGAGAAACCAGAAAATCCGAGAAAGACGGAATGGAAGTGGAGGAGCATGTCTACTCTACCACAATGCGTCCCTCTAGTCGAGGAGAGATTCCCGACGTCCAGGCCGGAGTGAATTCCCCTTCGCCGTCCATAGTATTCAACGTCCTGCACTGCAGACCTGCGTGCCGCATCCATTTTCGGACAACTCGCCGCGCAATTTGTAGAAGATACTCCTCTTCAGCGGATGATTTCGCTGGTTGAGTGACGTAATTTGTGGTTGGTCGCGAGGATGTGAGAATCTCTGGATCCTCGTCTGAGTCGGAGTCCATGGCATTACCATTCGTCTCGTCCCCGGCGATAACGTTGGTGCCCTGTTCGACTTCTTCGGGAAATCGACCATAGTAGTATGCTGACCGGGCTGTCCGCCGGAGTGCAGGCCGCGGGTTCAGCAGGTCGCATGCTTTCTTCTCTTTTTTAGGAGATGCTGGCTTCAGCCAGCCCTCACCATGCAGGTTACGATGCACAATACTCCAGTGCCGACCTAAGCTGGCGCTCCAGCGGTTCCATTTTCCGAGGACTTTAAGACTTAGGAAATATTGCCGTAGGATTGTACTGATGAGCACGCCATTTTCCTCAGACACAAGCTCTTCCACATCACCTCCTTCGGATTGGATAAGCAATGACGTGAACCCGTCTTTTCCTCGGGCCATATACCCGCGTGTGGCGAGAAGATAGTCACGTTGTAAGTCAATAGGCTCGCCGCCAACACGGGCGAATGTAATTCGTGACCCCGACGGTGCATCCATTTTAAACCCGTACTTGATATTGGATACTTGCGAGAATCGCCCCTCGAGTGCAGGAAGCTGGCTAACCCCATTCTCGAGTGCAGCTAGCAGTGCATGGCCTGGAACGCGCAACAACACCACGGGGTCTTCGAAAGGGAAGCAGTTCAGTAGATCCTTCAGCTTCAGTATTCCTGGCGGATAGATTTGATCGCCGCGAATTGTCCCGCCCGCCATCATGGCACAATCAGCCGCATAGTAGAAGCGCATCAGGTCACATACAAAATTTCCCAAATTAGATTCACGCTGCCGCACAGTAGAAAACCGGCCATCGAGCGGGCTGACCGTAAATCCGATTGGCTTTTCTAGTTTAGCCCTGAGGCTGGAAGTTAGGCGGGTCACCATCGCCACCATATCAGGATCTTCGGGAATTGAGCGAACAACATCTCGCCGTACAATATTGAAATCCCAACCAGGCAAGCCGTCCGGTTTGCGGAAAGCCTCAATGTAACTCAACTGTTTGAAGTCGGTCCCTGACCGCATCACATGGATTCCATTGACAACAGCATGGGCGTAAAAATGATCATGGCCTCCGAGAATGATGTCCACAAGATCAGGTGACAGGTTGTTAGCCAGTTTGTAGTCGTTCGGTTCACGTTGGTGGGTGACAGCGATGACGAGATCTGCTCCTTCATCTCGGAGCTGTTTCGCAAGCACTCGAGCTGTTTGGGATGCGGATTTGTAGATCAGATCAGGCGGAAGAGAGTTTATTGTGCCGAGCCTAAGGTAGACCCGAGTAAGCAAAGGAATGAAAGCATCCGAAGATACATTCTAGGAGCGCATACCATTCTCTTTCTCCAAGACCCAACACACCGATCTTGAGCCCATTGGATGTCAACATCCGAGACTTTCCGCAGTCGGCTATTGGGGTATCCGCCCCTAGTGCTGGGTCAAGAACGTTCGCTAATAGCCAAGGAAAGTGACATTGGCTGGCCAAATGGCGGAATTGGGCGACTCCAAAATCGAGATCATGGTTCTAGGTGGGTGCTCAGATTAGCGGTGTATGTAGGCCTGACGGGCAGCTGGTTGCCATACTCACACCCACACACGCTACATCGGTGCCCACAGCGTTGAGGAACGGTACCATATGTCTGCCCTTTGTGATTGTACTTTCGATACTCGGGTTGAAAGCATCGCCGGAGAAGAAGGTCAGGATATCGGGCTGCCCGGCGAACTGTGGGTGATAACGGTAGTGATTTACAAGGGATTGGAACCGAGACACCCCACCGACAGGCTCTGCAGAGCCAGATCTATACGAGATAATTTAATATCATCCCAGGTTGAAGTTTATGAAGCTAGGGGGAGAAAGGGATGGAGAGACAAGCATACTCGACGTGGTAGACATCATTATAGTGGATCAAGCGTAGATCCGGAGACCCAGTTCGGTCAGAGGAATAAGTGACGGAAAGACCGTCTGTTCCGATGCTTGACATGAAAGTCTCGATGTTATGGGAAAGGTAGGAGGAGATACTTGAAAGGAAGAGAGGAGAGAGGAGAGCAAAGAGCGGAGAGACGGAGAGACAGACGTGAGGGGAAGCCACGGTACCGGTGCCTGGTAGATGCCTGGTAGATGCCTGAGGGTTGGGGTGTCGTCATGGGAATATTTTGAATATCGAAAAGCCAAAAAAATTAGAAGTAGACCACAACGCCATGCAAGAGGTATCCTAAAATCCAATAAAAACAATCATTCCACAGCTACTGTTCTGCCACCGTCCATCGCCGCTTCGATCCGCATTCACGATCCAATGGCTGAGCACTCCCCCATAAACCACGCTGCGACACCGTCCGCTGTGGTAACTGCTTCGTCCAGCCAAGATCCGCAGACCTGTCATACCTATCAGAGAGGGCGGAATCTTGACTGACCGGTCGATCACCGAAGTTCGGCACAAGGTTGTCCTCTGCATCTGCTTTAGGCGACGAGATCGAGTTCCACAGCCCAGAGGCACCTTGAGAAGTACTTGAACTAGTTGCCGGGCGCATCGCCAGGGTCCATGTCCGAGGGCTAGTATTAGGTGGTCCATTTGTTGATGTTTCTTGGAGGAGCGATGAACGAGAGCCAAGACGATTCCGATAGGCAGGGACCGGAGGCGGTGAAAGTACAGGGACAGAGGGAGATGGCAGCGAGGTGAGCTGTGAGGGGTTCATTCCCGGGCGCAGATGATCGGTCGACGCCACAAGCTGCAAGGAGTATTCCAGTGACACCGATTGGTTCTCAGGGTCTGGGGATTTAGGCGTGTGATCCATGTCATGCGCGGGTTTATTGACACGGTTGCGTCGCACAGCCATAGTGAGTGAAGCTGTGTTAATATCGAGTAAGACCGAGTGCCCATTCAACGAACTGATCAAAGCGTTGCAATCCGCGCCATGTGTGATAATAACGAGGACCGTTTGTATATTACCGTCGTTTACCTTGCTTGACTCCGCTGTAGAACCGTGTTCAGGTAGATCCTGTTCCCGGTACCAGTTAATCATGTGCTGAAATCCATCATGCACTCGTTCATGCATGGTACTCCATTCCTCGCCGAACTCGCCCCCTGTGCCCCAATAAGGCGTGCGCATACTGTCCCACTGGTAGTCGATCCTCGTACATGCGTTTCGTGCATGAGCAACATAGCCTGTAGGAATGGGGTCCGACGCGGAAATGGCATAGCTAGGAGTTGGGGGCACGTAATATGCGTCTACAGTAGGCGGCAGGTCCGTTTCTAGCCGACTGAGAGACTTCTTTGCATGCTTGTGATGGGTAGGGTTCTGGGGAGTGTCATGGGTGGTGGAACGCTGACGCTGGGATGTTGCGGAATGCAAACGACGGTCTTCATCATCCGGCGAGGTAGGATGAGACTGGCTGCGCCAACCGCCAGGGAAATGGCCCGACAACGCCCTTGTCAAACCAGCGGTGGCTGGGATGACCTCGGCACGACGAAGTAATTCCCCTTTGGCAGACGCCACCATTCTGTCCGAGCCCGGCGGGGGCGTGATCTGGTCATAATAATCCGGTGATAGCCACTCGCCCAGAAATGCGTCGACGCGAAGCAGGCATCGCTGGTCAGGGATTGATGAAACCGTGGGGGCAGTAGGAGCTGAACTAGTTGTTTCGGATGCTTCTGTGTCCGAGGCTTGGCGAATACCAGCACTAACCCCTATTGCAGTTTGCAGACACCGAAGGTAAGGAGAGGTATGGACAATGACGTTATATCGATGGGACAGGTCCGAAGATGCGGGGGTGGGTTTTGCCTGTTTATCCGAGGTCGGGTGATGGCTGCGCTGACTCTCTGGATCTTCCCCGGTGAACTGTCGGGCCCTTAGCAGACTTCCTATACGTACACCAAGTGCCCGAGACTGTATCCATCCACCGTAGGAAAGGGGCGGATCGAAAGGGCTTGGAGAGGTTAAGTGCCAATCTTTATCTGCAGCATCGAGGCGGGCACCATGTCTAAAATGCTAGTGAGTAGCGGAAGCAGTGCAATCGGAGTAAATATTCACCTGGCAATAAACACAATAGGTGGTGATTTTGGCATGGAGGTCAATACCGTGTCCTTGGACTCCACGTCACTTTTTTTTGTCTTTTGGTTTTTTTTTTTTTTTGTTCGCGGGGAAGATGCGATAACGCGGTCTTGGGTGGTTTGCAGAGATGCAGCAATGGAGATAGAGGGGAATAAATATTAGAGAAGAAGCCCTATGGCTGATCAACCGGGTATCGTGACAGACATATTGAGACTTGCAATGAGAAGATGCAAAAGAGAAGCGAAGAAAGCGAACAAAGCGAAAGCGAAAGTTGAAAGAACCAGGGCCGCCTGGGGCAGCTCCATGCATGTGATACTTACTAAGCACCCCCTCATCCAGCCTGGAGCATCCACTGTATAGCCATAACATCCACCTATAGATGTATACCATTTAACATATTCAGAGCTTACAAGGGACTATATTCAATTACATTTCAAGTTGAGATTTGGCAATGCTTTCGATCAAAATGCTAAAGGAGTTCTTTGTGTACTTCTTTTCAGCACCTATACATGTCTACATCTATGTAGGTACCTGTATAGATCAATGCTTTTTCAGCTTGAATCTAATTGTTGGTCCTATTAATAGGAAGCTGCATATACCATTAGCCTTCAGTTTACACAGATTAGGCCCTACGATCAATGAGTCTGTCATAACAGAAGTTGACAGATTCGGAGTGACATCTCCAATTCCGTCGGATCGGGCCCGACGGGAAGATGTTGAAGTCGGCATTCCACTTTGGTGGATCAGATACAAAGCCGGCTTGGTTTCTTTCGATTGTGTCTCTTATTTTTGTCTCTATCTTTATTCAGCTTCTTCTTTGGTGCGTATTTGACTTTCGCTATGGAGCTTAATCATCGCACTCGGTCAATGTCGGACTCGGAGAACGATATCAATCTAAACAAGGTGCCCACGCAAAATGATGTTGACGAAACTTTGACCCGACTGGAAACGTCTCAGTCTCAAATGGAACCGCCTAAATCGGTTTTTCAAGAGACCATCTTCGTCAGTGTGGTGTGTATGGCACAATTCATGACTCAAGCTGGTCTTAGTATCTCCATTGCTCCAGTCCATATCATCGGCGATAGCTTCGGCACCACAAATCCTGCCGATTTAAGCTGGTTCGCAGCCGCCTACAGCTTAACGGTTGGCACTTTCATTCTTGTTGCTGGTAGACTAGGCGATGTCTTTGGTCACCGAAACATGTTTGTGATCGGTTTCTGTTGGTTCAGTATCTGGTCACTGTTGGCTGGGTTCAGTGTCTGGTCGAATCAGATATTCTTCGATTGCTGCCGTGCCCTTCAGGGGATTGGTCCCGCTATGTTACTTCCTAATGCAATTGCAATTCTTGGAAGAACATATCGGCCGGGCCTACGCAAGGAAATGATATTCAGTGCGTTTGGGGCTACAGCGCCTGGAGGGTTTATCGTGGGAGGTGTTTTCTCTTCTATCTTTGCTCAGCTTGTTTGGTGGCCCTGGGGATACTGGGTGATGGGAATCGCGTGTGCAATGATGGCCTTGATAGGATGGCTTGTCATCCCCCACACCCCCCAACCCAAATTCGACGACAACCTTCGTTTGTGGCAACGTCTTGATCTACCTGGTGCCACTGCAGGGATTTCAGGCCTGGTGCTGATCAACTTTGCTTGGAATCAAGCCCCGCTCGTGGGCTGGAAGAACCCTTACACCTATGTTCTCCTCATAGTTGGTTTTATTTGCCTCGGCGCCTTTACATTAATCGAACGCAAGGCACTATGTCCATTGCTCCCGCGGTCAGTCTTTACTACTGAGCTGGCGTGGGTACTTGGGTGTATCGCAGCCGGCTGGTCGAGTTTTGGAATTATCATCTACTACTTCTATCAATTCATGGAAGTCATCAAAGGTGATTCTCCACTGTTGGCCACGGCCAAATGGTCAGCGGCCGCTATTTCTGGTGCCGTGGCAGCTTTGATCACTGGTTTCCTACTTGGTCGCCTGCCACCCAGCGTCATCATGTTTTGCGCAATGGCATTTTTCACCGCAGGCCTCTCTATCTTCGCCACTGTACCTGTCGATCAAATTTACTGGGCGCAGGCATTTGTGGTGAGCTTGATAACCTCCTGGGGAATGTAAGTCTTCTTATTCTTGCGTCATTAGATTTGGTCCTATTCAGCGTCATTAATCATTCGCCTTTAGGGACATGTCTTTTCCCTCTGGAACCCTGATATTGAGCAACGCCATGCCTCGGCACCACCAAGGACTGGCCGCTTCCCTCGTTGCTACAACGGTCAACTATTCTATCTCCCTTGGCCTAGGATTTGCAGGCACGGTAGAAACGCATGTCAATGATGGAGGGCGCAATGTACTACGGGGTTACCGCGGTGCGCTGTACATGGGAATTGGACTGGCGTCATTGGGTCTCGTGCTGTCGATTTGTTTTATGTTTACGAGCTGGAGACATTATCGCAAAAATCTGAAAAGCCAGGGATAGATGATGTGGGACCAGATCCTGCAATAAATCTGCGGTTTGTGACTCTTCAATTAGTTACTAATTTCCTCTAAAATGGCCATGTTCGCATCTACATCAATAAAAATGGCGGCTACGACTCTATGTCCCTCATTAAATGCGCAGAAGAGAATGTTGACGTATGAATATGCTCATTGTCCAACCATTTTGAGAATATAATCCCATATGGAAACATATTTCGTGGTAGTCGTTCCTCGATAAATACGGGACCTCATTTCCGATATAGAAAAATAGACAAAAAGAGATGACTATCCGGAAACTCAGGGGAGAATGTGTATATGTCTACATTTACTCCGTAAATATTCAAGAGCTATAACAATTCGGCAATTGATCTTACCCCAAATGGACATAGCCGAGCCGGAATGAGTAGCCGATCGGGGCCGACTTCGGGCCCGTTATCAGATCTTCTATACTTTATTAGCCTCCATGTTCCATGTTCCATGCTCCTTTTCTTTTTTTTTTGCTTCATATCCTAAGCTACTACGATAAAAAAGATGGCAATCAACAAAATTCCCGATTCTTCTCTATGTGTCACCACGACAGACTTTGAGAAGGTCGCAAAGAATGTCCTGTCGGAGAAGTCATGGGTTTACGCATCAAGCTCAGCTAATACGGGCCTGTCAATGAGAACCAATCTGGATGACTGGTCTCTGATCAACTTTCGCCCTCGGATCTTGAGAAGTGTTGATTCAATGGACACCCGAAGGAACATCTTGGGACATACCTCCCAGTTTCCCTTCTTCGTATCAGCTATGGGTACACTGGGCAGCTCACACCCTGGCGCTGAACCCTTGCTGGTGAGAGGAGCTACCCGCAAAGGACTGCACACCATGATCAGTACAGCATCTACGAAGCCGCTCGAGGAGATCATGGATGCTCATCTGGACGAGCAACGGCTACTTGGCAACCAAAGCCCTTCGAACTTGTCATTCCAGCTCTATGTGCCTGTGGATCGGACAAAAGCCAAGTCACTCATTCAAAGAGTCAAGGCAGCCGGATACCAAAGCTTGTGGGTCACGGTGGACACTTCAACCCTGGGAAAGCGTACTGCCGATCGCTACCTCCAAGCACAAGAAAATATCGACGCTGGTTTGACCGAAAATGCACGAGACACTCACGGTGAGAACGAATTTGCGCCAGCATTTGGGGGTCGCCAGGTTCCCGGCTCGGTCGATGGTGGTCTTACTTGGGAAGATTTGGACTGGATTTCGTCAGAGTGGGGTGGGCCACTGGTTCTTAAGGGGGTTCAAAGTGTAGAGGACGTGAAGCTGGCCGTCCAATATGGTGTGCAGGGAATTCTGTTGAGCAACCATGGAGGCAGGCAGATTCATTCCGCCCCAAGCTCATTGATGACGCTCCTGGAGATTCGCACATACTACCCGGAGGCTTTCGACAAGCTCCAGGTGTTTGTTGATGGAGGTCTTCGCGACGGAGCAGATGTTCTCAAGGCGTTGTGTCTTGGAGCGACCGCCGTTGGAGTGGGCCGGCCTTACTACTATGCCCTCGCGGCATACGGCGCCGAAGGAGTGGAAAGATGTACAGATAGTAAGTTGGGACCGGTATTCAAATCAATTCCAAGCTAACACATTGGCAGTCATCGCCGAAGAACTTGAAATCACCATGAAGATGCTTGGAGTCTCTTCCCTCGACCAATTGCGACCAGACATGGTAAACACCAGCCGACTAATGAATGAAATGTGGCGACCAGTATTTGGAAAGTCTAAGTTGTGAAAAGGAAATTTTGTGATTTCATTCATGAGGCCAAAAAAGCACCATTGTATCTCTAACTGTATTTAATTGAGATTGGTATACTAGAAATATCATGCTCGCTATACAACTTATTCATACAGCCCCCCAGCCACCACCACCCGGAGTGTTGATCACAACCCGGTCGTGTGTCTTCATTGAGACGGTGTTCTTGCCGCCAATGTTAATACGGCGCTCATTGCCAGTATCTGGATCCCGCGTGATCCACAGATTGAACCCGGTCTGTGCATCCTGGCCACCTTCCAGTCCGTAAGGCCGATGGACACGGCGCTCAGACAGAATCGAACATTGGATTGGTGAAAGGAACTCGATGTCGCGAATCACTCCCTCGCCACCGGGGTTCCTACCCTGGCCGCCAGAGCCCTCACGTAGAGCGAACTGACGGAGCATCGTCGGATAGCGCTTTTCCAGGATTTCAGGATCGGTGATCCGCGTGTTGGTCATATGAACTTGTATACCAGACTCACCCCTCCAAGTTGGGCCAGCACCACTGCCACCCGCGATAGTCTCGTAATATCCAAATCCAGGTGTGATGACAGCACCGGTGGACGAATCGAGCTTGGCGTCTCTACCGAAGGTCAGGTTGTTACAGCAGCCTTGAGACGCGGCACAAGCCTGGAAGGCTTTGAACACGACGTCAGTAATGCGCTGTGAGGTCACAACGTTGCCACCAACGACGGCAGCAGTCTTGCTCGGTGACAAAATGCTGGACGATGGAACACGAATGTCAATTGGCGCCAAGCATCCCTGGTTCAGTGGCACGTCTGCATTGATCATACACCGTAAACAGTAGATAATAGCCGAGTGAGTAATGGCAATAGGAGCGTTCCAGCTACCATAAACCTCAGGGCCTGTACCCTCGAAGTCGAAGATGGCTGATCCCTCGGCACCGTTGATGGTGACCTTCAATCGGATGGGGGTACCGTCATCCATGTAGTCGACTGACTCCAATGGCTGGCCATTGAACTTCTGATATAGTTCCTTGAGAAGATTGCGCACCGCAGCCTCGGCGGTTGCCTGGATGGCGTACATGTACTTTTGCACGGTCTGAGTTCCATATTCGTTAAACAGAGTTTGAATCAAGCTGATTCCACGAGTGTTGGCGGCAATCTGTGCCTTCAGATCAGACAAGTTGTCGCTAATGCAGCGTGCTCCAACGCAGCCGGGATATTTCGAGGGCTTTGTGACCAGCAACTCGATCAACCGTGCCTCATCTAAGATACCATCACTGACAATCTTATCACCTTCGATGGCGGCGCCTTCTTGCCACAGTTCGGTGGATTTGGGAGGCATTGATCCAGGTAATATACCGCCAATGTCAGCGTGATGTCCACGGGAAGCCACGTAAAACATGATCTCGGAGCCACCAGGTCGGTCAAAGACCGGTGTAATGACCTATAGATATATTAGTATTCGATGTAGTCAATATGAAGGTGACTTACTGTGATATCGGGCAGATGGGTGCCTCCACAACTGGGGTGATTGGCCACCAGAACATCACCATCCTTCAGGTTGCCTAGCCACTTCTCATGCTGATAACGCACGGCAAATTGCATAGATCCAAGATGAACCGGAACATGGGGTGCATTGGCAACCAAACCTCCGTCGGGGGAGAATAGAGCACAAGAGAAATCTAGCCGCTCCTTGATGTTAGTTGAAACGGAGGTTTTCTGTAGCGTATGACCCATCTGCTCAGCGATAGACATGAACCGATGTCCAAAGATGGTAAGCCTGATGGGGTCAATTTCCGATGACAGGGCGCTTCCAGATGAGGTTGGTTCGTCATTGAGATCGATGACAATGCAGGTATCGAGCAGGTTCGCCACTGCGTTGGGAGCCACGACAATTGTTTGGGTTTGATCAATAATGATAGCCGGGCCATGAATGCGGGAATTCTTCTCCAATGCACCGAGAAGGTAAACTGGTGTATCCACCCGACCCAACTGGCCAAAGTAGGCTGAAGTGGTATTTAAAGCCGGCGCGACATCTCGCAGATCGGCTTCTTTCAGTTGAACCAAGGGACTTTGCTCAGTCCGCACCTTGGAAGAGGCGATTGTTCGTACTCGAACGTCATCAACAAGGACAGGTCGGTCAGAGTTGAAGTTGAATTCCCGGCGATGACGAATGCGGAATGCTTCCAGGAAGTCTGAGTTCTCGGGCTTCCGGATCATTAGACTGGTATCAGAACCTTCGTAGCGCATGTTCAAGTACTGCTCATGGCGCACTTGAGTGGAGGGGAAACCTTGAGATTCCATATCTTTGGTTGCTGATGCTGACAAGTTATCGAGGCGTTGAAGAAGTGTAGATTGTGAAGATAGGTAGGCTGACGAAACAGGTTCCTGAGACTCCTTGACAACTTCTGCCAGAGCAAGGCCGTATGCTGATAGAACGGAAGAATACTTATGAATGATGATGCGGGATATTCCGAGCGTTTTGGCCACTGAGCATGCGTGCTGGCCACCAGCACCTCCGAAGCATGCCAAATGATGAGATGCTGTCTCAAAGCCACGAGCCTCCGTGAGGTTACGGATTGGCCGGGACATAGATTCATCGGCCACATGAAGGAAACCAAGTGCAATCTCCTCTGGGGAAAATTCCGACTGGCCTTGCTGCCGGCGTTCAATGTTGACTTTCTGTGTGAGTTCATTGAAAAGGCGTGCAGTCGTCTCTGTATCTAGAGCTTCATTCTCATTCGGCCCGAAGATCTTCGGGAAGTGCTCGGGCAGAAGGCGACCTAGGAACAGATTGGCGTCTGTCACTGTAAGAGGGCCACCCTTACGGTAGCATGCCGGACCAGGATGAGCACTTGCTGACTCAGGCCCGACATAAAACAAGCCATTACGCCAAGTGAGGATGGAGCCGCCGCCAGCAGCAACAGTGTTAATATCAAGTTGAGGGGACTGGATTATCACACCTGCAACCTTAGAGGCAAATACATGCTCAAAGTGGCCATCGAATCTGGAGACATCTGTGCTAGTACCACCCATATCGAAACCAATGACGGGAGTCTTCTCGGTGGGATCCCAGCTAGTGGCTGCAAAGCCAACCACACCAGCTGCGGGGCCGGACAAAATCGCTTTCAGCCCGCTGAATTTGCGGAAATCAACCAGTCCACCATCTGACTGCATGAACTCAAATCGGCATTTCTGTTGACTCTCCAACCCACCTTCAAAACTGGAAGAGATAGAGTCAATATATGTCTTGATAACAGGTGTAAGATAGGCATCAGCAGCGGCCGACATGCCACGAGGCACGATCTTGATCATGGGTTGAAGGTTTGAAGAGAGAGTGACCGAGAATCCCATCTCTTGAGCGAGCTCGCCGATTTGACGCTCGTGCTCAGGATATGCGTAAGAATGCAGTAGCGCCACAGAGATTGACAGAATTCCTTGCTCCTTTAGTCGTTGGAGCTCTGCCTTCACCTGAACGAGGTCTAGTTCTTGCACCACGCGGAAATTCTCGCCGGTGATTCCTTCTACTAAGCGGCAATCGGAGAAGCAAGCGCTATCAGCAGAAGGATGGCACGACAGCACACGTTCGTTGACTTCGACGACACTCTCCGGGAGTACTCCGGGCCGAGCCATTGATAGGTCAAAAATGGCCGGGCGAGATTGGTCGCCAATTTTCAGTAAATCTCGAAACCCTTTCGTCGTGAAGAGTGCTGAGCGGGCACCCTTGCGCTCGAGTAAGGCATTGGTTGCAACGGTTGTGCCCATGCGGAGGCAACCAATACGGTCGAGTCTCAATGGTTGGCCTCGGGGGTGTGGTTCCCCGGTGGCAAGCTCTAGAATCCGACGGATACCCTCAGTCGGGGCATCTTGGTAATGAGAAGGATCGACAGAGAGAAGCTTCAAGATAATGTCGGGACGGCCAGGTTGAATCGCGTGGACATCAGTAAATGTGCCGCCACGATCGATGGAGATGGTGATCTTCCCTGAGTCAGACATTGCGACTAGTAGTTGGGAAGATGTGAGTGGGTTCTAAAAAAGGAAAGAATATAACAACAGACAAAGAAGGTCAGGAGAGAACCACATTCATTTATCTCACAGAGCTTGTGCCGATATCCCAACACACCTCTAAATGATAGATGAATGTCACGTGTCGGGCCGATGACTCCTATTTCGGCTTCCTCGGGCCGATACCTCCACAGCTTGATAAGCCGCGGGGTGAGATTGGGGATGGAGGGGCAGATAGCGGGCACATGTGTAGTCTACATAATGATAATAATAATAGTTAGGAAGTTGTGGAGATATTCATATAAGTTGCATGGGCCTCAGGCATCAATTTATCCCACATGTGACGTGCCAGGTCTGAGGAGTGCACCTTTCAAAATAATTAAGATGAAGAAAAAAGAGAAAGTAAATGCAGAAGTGGGACATACAAATATCGATCTCTGACTTAGCTAGCAAACCACTTATGAACAAGGAAAGAAGCAGATAGCAAATAGCAAATAGAAAGTAAGCAAGCATATGTCAACAATCGGAGTCGCATGGCGGATGCAGATCGTGATAAGATGTGGTGTATAAGCTACATCAGAACTAAGAACTAGCACATAAGATAAGAGGTGAGTGATATATATTCATTCTCATCGCTTTAGAGTATTCTCAATCCAGTCAGTGTCCATGTCAATGTCGATTTGATCCAATGCCCCTTCCCAGAGTGCTGGATCATCGTTTAGATCTAACTGGAAGGCGATATCCCGAAAAGAAGGGAGATCTGGCAGCTCTGGCCAGTTATAAGTAAGCTCTTCTGAAGCTGCTAACTCCGCACCCGGATCTAGAACATATGGATTTACGCCATTCTCGGTCATTGGCGTCACAGGGCCCATTTGACCTGCAGCAAGAGAACTTGCCACATCAGTATCCTTCTCTTCAGCAGGTCTAGGTCCAATGGCCGCCCGTAATTCCAACAGCAATGAGTGACGCGAATCCAAATATGTATTTCCCCGATCTGCCATACCGCGAAGAAGGTTCAGTGCGGTCTCCATTGCCCGGGCACTTACTTCATTGGGCGGAAACGCAGCATTCACCATAACCAGCAGCAGTGCAGCAGAGAAGATATAGTCGCCATCAAGGTATCCATATGTAGCTAGAATGTTCGTCAATCAGATGGTTTCATGACAGAAGAGATGGGGTTGTATTGCGATCGCTTACCAATGAGATTATGTTTTGCAGCTGCATCCATGATCAGAGTGGTTGCTCGCGCTGCCGTGATACAGCTGTCAATGACGGCAACGGTATTGGGAGCCAGTCCTTCTTTCCAGTCTTCTGTTGTGGATCCAAAGGCTTCCGCGTCGAGTCGCCGTTGGATGACATAAAAGACCAACGGGCGCGCAGTCATGTTCACACATGAGTAGAAGTGCAAGTTGATCGAGACAGACTCTCGGTTGATATGGGTATTGAGTGTGTTGAAATCGATGCGGAGTCGATCTGGCACTTGTCGCAGCCAGCCAGAGAGGTCATTTGTGATACTCTGAACAGAAGCAACGAGGTTAGATCCGGATACAGGCTTCTTTCTGTAGATTTCTGATGTGGCCATCTAGGTCAGCTTGGCAATGCGACAAAAAGCAAGAAGAATTTCTACCTTCCCCAATCCGTCCCAATATACGGGATAGTTGTGTATAATGAATAAGAACGGTCGATGGCCATGGATCGGTTGATCCACCCTTGATCGAAAAAAACCAAATCAGCGAATACCTAGGCATACCATGGAAGGCAACATACCACAGCTGTAGGCCAAGTTATTCCAATGTCTTCATCGTGAATTGTAATGGGGTTACCAGACTTGACCGAGAGAATTCTATCCGTGTAAGTATTGTTCTCAGAAATGTAAGGGAATTGGTCAAATTACCGGTCCAAGCTGTAGACAGACCACCAAGCCCGACGTCGACGGTTGCGATCTGATTCACTTATTGAAAGATCAGACACCTCTTGGTGTAGACCCAAGGAGATAGCCATACGCAGAGAAAGTCCAATCTGACGTCGTTAGCGGTACAGCGGAAAGCTAATGGAAGGAATACATACGTAGAGGAAGGCAGCATCCCGCCTATTCAGATTCTGCATATAGTATGCCACATAGCATAGTACCTCAACGAAGAGAATTGAGCCCTCTTCGTGGATATCTGGCAAGAAACGTAATGCATGCTTGAAATATTTGAAGCCGGGAGGACCTTCCTCGCCAATCCACTGGTTCACACTATACATCAAGCCAAAGGAAATAACCAACAGTGTTTGACAGTATACTAGGCAAGATTCACGATGTGAAAAGTCAAGTGGTTTGTGATAGACTAGATCCAGCCGTTCTTCAAACTCCAAGGGTTTGATAAGGGAGAAGATGGTACCGATGTAAGCGTATTGTACCCAGAACAGTCGCTTGGCAAACTCGAAAGGTGGTAATTGAGGCAATGAGCCCCCGACTGGTCTTCTCAATGATGAAGGGTCATCGTAAAGTGGACGCACATCCCATGCAAGGTTTGTGGAGCCAGGATTGAGCCGTTTGGCGAGATGTGTAGTAGACGAGGCACCCACGAAATCTGAGAAAAGATTAGCAAGATAATAGAAATAAATTATCTTCCAGCTCAACGCGTACGATGTTCACCCGACCGCTTCAAGAACAAATTGTCCGTCCCTTTGTACCACCAGTCGTCGCGTTCTGATGGCCCCTCAGAGTAACGGTTGGATATCGATGGTTCACTTGACGGCGTTGGGTGACTACCTTCTATCCTGGGTGGTTAGATTGCGTCCAGATGACCACCTGGGTAGGTATGAAACCTACCTCGCGATGCAGGAGGTTGCGATTGTAGTTGGCGATAGTAGCTGTAAAGAGAGTCAACATTAACTCTTTTCGACGATCTTAGACCGACTTCACCTTTCCGTTATAGTGATTCGCTTCTCGGCCTCTGAGTATACGCAACGCTTGTCCGCATCCACGCATGCTGCACAAGGGTGGGGTGGATTGCCGGCACAGCGAGTTTTTCTAGAACGGCAGCGGTTACAGGCTACCATCGACCTTTTTGAGCGATCTTCTGCCTGGCGCGAGATGCCTGCATTTCCAAGGACCATTTCCCTCTTTTCTTTTTAAGCTAGATCTTAGAAGTGTTTAGATCTGCTAGATCTGCATACAACATAGACTGGCGAAACGTTGTAGAATGACACACAACCCAGACCGGCACGGAAAGCCCCGGATTCTCCGCTTTTTCACTTATCTCTCCGGCCCGACTTCCCCACGGTGAAATGGTACGATAGAAGGGAATCAATCGCCTGTATGACTTGTTTCGTCTAATTATACCTATGTGTCTGGGCTGGAAATGACTGGTGCATTCTGATATTTTTCACTATATTTCGAGGCTCATTCCGTACAACTTGTAAAGACCCCCACTTGCATTCCGCGCTATCCCAAAGAGTTAGACTGTACTCCGCATGATATGTATGATCAAAAAAGACGAAAGAACCTATGGTCAAAATATAGCAACGCCATTCGGGGGGCTTGCAACCCCACCAGGAACCTGATGAATGTGGTCAGTTGGGAACAGAAGTAGAATTTATCTATACACACCTTCAATGGCACGCTACTAAAGAAAAAGGTCCAACGGTCTCTCTTGCGGCACTCCTTGCTAAGCTGCTCGAGATCGAATAATTCGCCAATCGGGACACCCCATCCCGCTAGCAACCATTCATGGAGAGAGAAAACCTGATTCTGGCATGGATATGCTTCAAAGCTCGGCATATCTCCCGCCACGGCGGCTAATCCAAGATCCCAAATCCAGCGCAGGGTGGCCTCGGACGATTCTACCCCAATCACTGGAGGTGCTGCATAGTCGGCCAGTTTCTGGCATTCCGCCTTGGACAGCTGTTCGTACGCTCGGGTCCAGCCCGTGCGAATAAATAAGATATCTCCTGGCCGGAATGTAGTATTCTGACTAGCAGCTACCTCCTGGAGTACAGAGGCCGGGATTGACTGGGTTTCAAAGCAATTCACTTCTTTCCCGTTCGCTGCCGCCCAGCCCGCATAGTCTAACAGAACACCCCGTCCAACAATACCGCCGTTATCGGCCCAGACTAAGGGAGGTTTAGTAGAAACCCCGAAGTTTGGAAATCAGAGGGAATTACCGTGGATGCCATTTAGAGTGGAATTTTGGATGTCGTCCTGGGTACACCCATTGAAGTAAGTTCCTTGCTTTGAGCCATAATGTCTGAAACCATCCCATTGACTACTACTCTGGGTGTTGAAAGTCAAGATATCATCGTTGACTATCCGGGGAGCCTTGTTCTTGATGATATGCTCGAACGAAGACCGTCCAAAGCAGGGGGTCGCCATACTATTGAGAGCCCAATCTGTTGAGACACGCACGCCGTCAACAATCTCGCGAGCAGCCGCGGCGGTGTTTTCCGGGGTCAATAGATTGAGCATGCCCATCTGATCTTCATCGCCAAACATCCCCCAAGCATTCCCTGGAGGTCCATCTTTGCGTAAAGGTAGGGCATCAAACGATGGTCTCTGAGGCGACATCGTTAAGCACAGGAGGTAATAAATAGCCTTTGATCAAATTGAAAATTTACTCGAATGACGATTTAGAAGCGCGCAACGTACTCTGTAAAGTAATACCTAGGTAGATAGATCGTTTACCCCGCATGTTGCGCGGCATTATCAAATAACGACCTCGGTAACCTTGGAAGGTCGAACGATCTGGTGCCAACTCATCTGATATTACGGGGGACATGATGAAGCTTCCCGTACATTTAGGTTAAAAGTGATTCAACAACTCAACCTCAGCCTCTCGGGACAAGACTCGTCACCTAAGTCCGTCACTTAAGTCCTCGGGGAGGCTGCGCTCGCAATGAAGTCCGATGTCGGGTGAGGGCGGAGAGGCCGAACATAATAATAGATGCACCAAGTAAGTTAGAGAAACAGAACAGACACAATGTTTTCGCACAAGAGAAATAAGTACATCAATTCCAAGCAAAAATGAAACTATTGATACAATATTTATGGCTTCAAAGTGGGAAAATATGTATTAATAGAGAATTTGACCACTTCAACTTTTCAGATTCTAAGACCTAAAAATAGATGATAGTCACCAAGGCAGCTATATTCCTCTTCCAAGGGTCCACGGATGTGTCGTACGTGTTAGTGTACTTTGTATATGTATCTTGTACAGTGTACGCATATGCAAGGGAACATAATAAGTTGTGTACGCGTATATGGTGGAGCACGTGACCGGGCACATGACACACATTATTCACACGGCATCCCAACATGTCTCTCTCTCTGTTGCTGTGGTAGCGGCTTTCTTTTTTTTTTCTTTTTTCTTTTTTTCTTTCTCTATTTTTCACTCCCCACATACCATATTTATAACGATGGCTGCATATGTGGACCCTCGTAAGCCAGTTGCAGATTCAGAATTCAGCCCCCTAGAAGACAGCCGATCGTTCCATGACGCCTCGTCGTCATCTCCGGGAGTCGCCACCCCCAGCCCGTCACGCTGTGATTGCTTGGCAGAGACGCCTTGCCAATGTGCTTACGAGCATGAGTACTCCGTACATTGGTGCAAGATCGCTCAGGGGTGTTTCGGATGGTAGAAGGGATAGGTACAGCAAATATTAATTGAGGGGGCCTGTGATGGGTCATAGGAGACACCTGTTGACCAATGTCATGACGCATGGCATCGTTGACCCGCAGCCTGTTACATGTTCGACGAGTTATGTTTGTCATAACAAGGCTCGGGAGAGAGTCAAATCCCATACCCGTACAGAAGTATACCTTGGATACCGAGAGAATTATGATCAAGGGGAAGAATCATCCGGTGGTTGGGGTACCATGGTACTTGCAGGTAATGGTTATGCATCGGCAGGGGAAAAGCGGTTGGCAATGCCCAATACATTATGTATGTCCTGTCTCGGACGGCTCCATGGTGGATCCTCAGAAAGGGTGGATGGCGAACGACAATTGCTGATGTGCTGGGGTTCCACCTCAGTCGCCCTTTCACAGCCCACATCGTTGGCACCTCCAATCAAATTCTGCACCAAAAATATCTCCTGGATAGATGGCATCTGGAGCCCTTCTCCTCGCACACGTCTTTGAACCTCAACCCTCCGCTATTTTCCACCTAGGTCCCATATTGTTTCTCATACAGGTTCGATCTCTGGACAGGTCGCCTGCCTTGCTTTCAACTTCTCCTACGAGGTCATTGCTGCGCTGTTGCGCTGTTGCTATTGAGGCGCCGGATTGTACCTGGAATTCAGTTCAGTCTTCTCTCATATTTTCTTTGGATCCTTGAGATATCACCCCGCCAACCATATCTGTATTTCCTTTCCACCAAATCCAGGGAACGCGAGCCACACATAATGTCTTTTCCTCAGAGGAGCACATCGCCTCACTCGCCTCACTCAGGCGACCTATCTCATTCTCCCCAAGCCAGCGAGACTAGCGTGTATGGTCCACGAGAGGTGAGTGACCAGCGACTCGGAACAAAAAAAAAAACAAACAAACAGAGGAGACCGACCAAGACAGCAGTGGATGCTAATTCAGTTTGTTCCACAGCAAGCGTACGGTTACGAGGAGAAACCCGAGAACCTCGACAGCCAGCAGTCTTTGCTTTACCGAAACCAGCCTAGCCCTTTCAACGCTTCATTCGATGACCCATATGCCTCGACCGATTCCCTCCGTCGCTACACACTACAGGACCCCGGAGTCACCATCTTCCCCGATGGTCCATACCAGGAGTCCGCAGGAGGACTCAACAGCCGTCGTTCGGGTATTCAATCACCCATGTCTGAGACTCCGTCGGAAGCTTGGCAAAACCGACAGGCACCTGTGTCAGGGCTGCGGCGTTATGCTACGCGAAAGATCAAGTTGGTCCAGGGCTCTGTGCTCAGTGTCGACTATCCAGTTCCAAGCGCCATCCAGAATGCGATACAGAAGGAGTATCGGGAATCGGAGGAGGGCTTCCCGGAAGAATTCACGCATCTGCGTTGTAAGTCTTCGTGTCAAATATTGATCATGCGACTCGAGCTGATCGCACACAGATACCGCGGCCACCTGTGATCCTGACGAGTTCACCCTACGAAACGGATACAATCTGCGACCGGCTATGTACAACCGACACACTGAGCTTTTGATCGCTATCACATATTACAACGAAGATAAAGTTCTGACCGCGCGGACGCTCCACGGTGTCATGCAGAACATTCGAGATATCGTCAATTTGAAGAAGTCGGAATTCTGGAATAAGGGTGGCCCGGCCTGGCAAAAGATTGTGTGCTCCTTGGTTTTTGATGGTATTGATCCTTGCGACAAAAATACACTCGACTTATTGGCCACTGTTGGTATCTACCAAGATGGCATCATGAAGCGCTCCGTCGATGGTCGGGAAACCGTCGCACACATCGTGAGTTCTTATAGTCTTGATTCACCTTGGCAAAGTCTACCCTCTTTCCCGGTGTCTTTGTGGCCGACGAAAATCCACTAACAAGATCAAGTTCGAATATACCACCCAACTCTCAGTTACACCAAGCCAACAGTTGATCCGGCCCCAGGGCAACGAGTCATCAAACCTTCCTCCCGTTCAAATGATTTTCTGTCTGAAGCAGAAGAACAGTAAAAAGATTAACTCCCACCGCTGGCTCTTTAACGGTTTCAGCCGAATCCTTAACCCCGAAGTCGTGATTCTCATTGATGCCGGAACTAAACCGGGAAAGAAATCACTCCTTGCATTGTGGGAGTCTTTCTACAATGACAAGAACCTAGGTGGATCTTGCGGTGAGATTCACGCAATGTTAGGACAAGGTTGGAAAAACTTGATGAACCCCCTCGTCGCCGCACAAAACTTCGAGTACAAGATCTCCAATATTCTTGACAAACCGCTAGAGAGTGCCTTCGGGTACGTTAGTGTGTTACCGGGTGCCTTCTCCGCGTACCGCTATCGCGCTATTATGGGTCGCCCGCTAGAGCAGTACTTCCACGGCGATCATACACTCTCAAAGCAGTTGGGTAAGAAGGGTATTGAGGGCATGAATATCTTTAAAAAGAATATGTTCCTCGCCGAGGACCGTATCTTATGTTTCGAGCTTGTGGCAAAGGCTGGATTTAAATGGCATCTAACCTACGTGAAGGCGTCAAAGGGCGAGACTGATGTGCCGGAGGGTGCAGCCGAGTTTATCAGTCAGCGACGTCGTTGGTTGAACGGTTCGTTCGCCGCCAGTTTGTACGCAATGATGCATTTTGGAAGGATTTATAAGAGTGGCCACAACCTCCTACGGCTGTTCTTCCTACATATCCAAATGACATACAACTTCATGGGTCTTGTCATGACCTGGTTCTCTCTCGGTATGTCTCGGATCTCGTGTTCTTTGGTGAATCTCATACTAACTCGTACTAGCCTCGTTCTGGCTGACTACTACTGTCATCATGGATCTTGTCGGAACTCCTAGTGAGTCCAACAAGAATAGGGGATGGCCGTTCGGTAACGAAGCGACGCCAATCGTGAACAACTTCCTCAAGTACGGATACATCTTCTTCTTGATGCTCCAGTTCATCCTAGCGCTAGGAAATCGACCGAAAGGGTAAGCTAAAATCTGAAAAAAATCACCCCATCATGTCAAACTGACATTTGAAACAGTTCACGTCTCGCATACACGCTTTCGTTCATGTATTTCAGTATCGTTCAAACTTACATCATGGTCCTATCATTCTACCTTGTCAAGAATGCTTTCACTGGAGGCACGCTTGATTTCTCTATGGACCGAGGTGTTTCCCACTTCCTAAAGTCTTTCTTCGGTTCGTCCGGGGCCGGTATCGTCCTGATCGCTTTGGTTTCGACTTATGGTATTTACTTCATCGCAAGTTTCTTGTACATGGATCCCTGGCATATGTTCACGTCCTCCTGGGCGTACTTTGCCGGTATGACATGTTCGATCAATATCCTGATGGTCTACGCTTTCTGCAACTGGCATGACGTTTCCTGGGGTACCAAGGGTTCTGACAAGGGCGATTCGCTCCCCGTCGCTGAGACGAAGAAAGACGACGCCAAGTCAAACTTCATTGAAGAAGTCGATAAGCCACAGGCCGATATCGACAGTCAGTTCGAATCGACGGTCAAGAGAGCACTAGAGCCATATGTTGAGCCTGAAGATAATGACGAACCAAGCATGGATGATGGCTATAAGGCTTTCCGAACCAACCTGGTGTTGATTTGGATTTTCAGCAACCTGATCCTTGCACTGTGTATCACCAGTGAAGGCATCACCCGTCTCTGTCTCACGGTATGTATCTTGTCTAACTCCAGGCTGTGGCATAAACTAACATTCAAAGAACACTTCTACCCTTCGTACCTCCAAGTATTTCGCCGCTATTCTGTGGACGACCGCCGGTCTGTCGATTTTCCGCTTTATTGGATCCCTCTGGTTCCTGGGCAAGTCTGGTATCTTGTGCTGTGTTTCTCGCCGTTAAGAGATTTTTATACATAGCGAGTTGTAAATATGCGTCTTTGGGCTTGCGGTGGTATTTTCGGTCTGCTTTTTTGGGATCTTGCTGGTTTGATCTTATGCTTTGTATTCCCCATGTTCGCAGCCGTCATGGTATTGAAATTCCTCTTTTGGCATGTATATGGACTGTAAAAAGTGAATGTTTTGTTTTGCATCTACGATAGAACTAATTTATCGATTATTACTCCGTATACGAGAATGAGTTGGACTGGTTACATTTCGCTGTAAATTCGTGACTCGCCCTCGCATATGGCCCAGTCTCTACAACGTAGGGTGCATAAACCCTACACAGATCTTCGTATGTATAAGCAGGATAACGCAAGATCACAAAACCTTGAAGTGCAATTATAATTAGCAGTCAACGCGATCTATGGTATATGGAACACAATAAGAGAAAAAAGAAAAAAGAAAAAAGAAAAAAGAAAAAAGACGGAGCAATGCAACATTACAAAACGTGAAGTCCAAAATCCTGGACCTTTTCTCTTTTGGTATCCTCGGAGATCCTTTAAAACGCCCATGTTCCCCTTCTATGACGGATGGCTTGGATTATTTGAACGACTCTCGTGTATGAACGCGGTCAATGTCGTAAGGGTTAGCTTCGTATGTGGGCACCCGATGCATAGCATGCGTGGCATTGGTAGAAGTTCGCGAAAGAGTGTGATGAATTGAGTGGACATCCGTGGGGCTCTCCTTGTCCTGAGAGAGCGATTCGGCTTCCTCATTTGCCAATGTGGTTTCGCACATCTCAGGTTCAATATTGGCAGGCTCCTGGGCTTTTTGGATTGCCTGAACAAGATTTTGAACAAAGGCCTCAGACTGCGCAGAGTACTTGCAGTGCTTTCGGATGGACAGTCCATATTTATAGAGTAGGAAAGGGAAAGGCACGCAGGCAAGAGCCAGGAAAGCCGGAACACAGGATGCCCAATGGATCCCCAGGTCTTCGTACATGTACTTGGTGAAGAGTGGGAATGCAAATCCGAATAACGACCGCAGTAGCGTGTTAGCTGCCAGGACAGATGCCGCAAAGATGGTGTAAGCATCGATCAGGTAGTTGAAGACACTAAGGAAGACAAGCAACATTCCGAACCCGAACGGAACTCCAGCAGCGACGCTTGCAAGCCAGTGGACGGATGGAGAGTTAGTCCATGCGAACCAGAAGAGTCCTAAAGGGAGGGCAATAGAGGCCAGCATACACGGCGGAAGGCGGGCTTCTGGGGGCACATAGCCACCATTCTTCTCCAGAAGTTTCGCGTAGCGCTTATTTTCAGGAATTGAATACGCAACGGCAGCGAGCATACCAATCATGACACCGATAAAAGATAAGGCGCCGACGCCTTGATTCCACCCACGATGAAGCTGATACACAATCGGGAAGGCGCCGAAAAGCATATAGAGGGTTCCGTAGATGATAGCAAGGTAGATCGACAGCAGCAAGACAATAGGTTCTTGAAAAAGAAGAATCATGGGTCGGGAAAGAGAAATTTTCAAAGCGGCTTTCAGCGTGAGACGTCCTTGATCGATATCTAATTTGCTGTAGTACACCTGACCGGTAAGCTTGGAGAGAGTCATTGCACGCTGGCGGAGAAGAACGGGGGCATATGTCTCAGGCTTCAACGCGGCTCCTAAGAACCACATGACGCCACAGAGGATGGCCAAGAGACCCATCACCCACCTCCAGCCTCCATTAGACATACCGAGGAAGCCACCGGCGATGGGCCCAATAACGGGTCCTAGGAATGGTGCTAAGGCAAAGGCCGATAAGGCCAGTCCTCGGTCGCGAGCCATGAACATGTCGGCGATAACACCGCCCGAGTTGGTAAGGGGAGAGGAGCCGAAAGCACCGGAGAAGAATCGGAAGACCAGCAGAGTCTGGATATTCTGCGCGCCCGTACACGCGGCACAAAAGACGGTCAAACCGCAGTAGGTTGTGATGAAGACAAGCTGGCGACCGAAGATTTCACTCATCGGGGCCCAGATCAGAGGACCCAAGGCAAAGCCCAGTACGTAGAGGGATACTCCCAAGGTAGCAACCTCGGTGGTTGCGCCGAATCGCTCTTCGATTTGAATAATACCACCAGTATAAGCGGACGAGACCAGAGCAACGACCAAGGTCTCGATGGCGGCGACCACGGTGATAAACCATTTCATGGAAGTCTTTAACTGAAGAGGGTTTCGAAAGTCCTTGGGCATCCATTCCACGACATAGGGATCGTCTTCGGTCCCTGAGCCAGCACAAGGGTGGTCGGCAACCTCTTGCGTGATAGCACCGGGGCTGAGAACAAGTCGCCAGAATGGGATGGAGGTTGGCAAGTGTAGGGAGTTGGCATTCTCGGAGAGCTCCATTGTTGAGACTCAAGAGATTACCTCTAGAGCGAGATCTGCGATCTGCGTAGGACGTGATATGAGGTAGAATGGTGACAATATGGTAAACGGGCTTTTTCGAGACCCGTCTACTATATGTAATCCATGTAGTACTCCATTCATATCGGAGGGATTGCTCATTTCAGCTGTAGTGGGGGGGTGGTCATATGGAATAATAAGCTGCATCTTTATTAAACAAAGAAGAAAAGATAGAAAAAGATTAGAAAAAGACAGAACAATCCCGTTGATTGGCTTCAATATCTTCAATATCCCGACAATCTCCACTTAGTCCCGGCCCGATCAGTAATCGACTGCTCGGCTGAGCCGATGTTTGGGTGATTGGAAGAGTTTTTGGTCGTTTAAGCCGAGGTTCATTTGGTATTTGCCTTCATACTTATGCATGTAGGGCTATCACGTCGGTTTTATGCAAATATACCATTCTGCCAAGCGTCCGTATTTAGCACAACTCCGTAGACTCTATGATTTGGACTTGATTCTCTAGATCTTTGAAAGTACAGGGGCCAGAGGACCGGGGTTATTAGTTCATGAGGTGTCTGGTTTAGATGCAGACCGATACGAGCACAGCTATTATTGGCCACTAGTACTCGAAAAGGGAGATACATAACCATATGGATGGCCTGAACTGTCGGGCAACTACCCTCAATATCCACCCCCTATCTCAACATCTCACATCTCACATCTCTCAACATTAATTACCTGGACAGCAAATAAATCATGGTCTAAATCCATCTTCATTGGTACACGTCTAACTCCTTACAGGCTCTTCTCGATCTCAGCAACCTCAGCCATCACCTGTCGGATCCCGGTTTTGACGTCCTCTCCCGCCTCCTCGTAAGGGTGTCGAGGGGCCAGGTTAGCTACTGCATCCTGAATCCCTGCCAACTGGGCGGAGTAGCACGCTACCGCATACTTCGTTGACGCAATACCACCCTTGATGGCACCTTCTGCGATCGCCGCCTTCTTTTGGAGCTCCACCGCCTCCTCAATCTGACCTTTCTGATACAACGTATAGATCCGAGCCGTCACTTTGGGAAAAACGTTCGCGAAGGCAGCAATACATCCCGCGCTTCCTGCAGCTAGCCCGCCGATCAGGAAATCCGACTGTCCACCAAAGGTCACAAAGTCCTCGGGCGCAAACGCTGCAGCTAGCCGGGTGATCTTTCCCACGGATCCACAGGTCAGTTTGACCCCAACCACATTGGACCGTCCACTAGCATGCGCGGACGTCGGGTCCCGTGCGATCGCGGCAATGGTCTCAGAGTCCATATCCACCCCGTTGCACACCCCCGGGAAATTGTATACCACCACTGGCAGAGGTGACTTGGCTGCTACTTCGGAAAAGAAGCGCTTCACCACGTTCATGTTTGTAGCTTTTCCAAAGTATGCGGGAGGAAGAATGAGAAGGTAGTTGGCGCCAGCAGCGGCGGCGTCCTTTGCGAGCTCGAGGGTCTGCTTAGTCGAGTGCGCACCGACACCGGCCATCAGGGGAAAATCAGGGCCAACGGCGGCTCTTGCAGTTGAGATGAGCTGAGCTCGCTCTTCACGGGTGAGGAGGAAGGCTTCTGAGTTGGTCCCTAGGATCACTAGACCCGCTAGCCCGGTTTTGGATAGATAGGCAAAAAACTTGGATTGAGAGTCGAGGTCTAATGAGTCGGTGTCACGGTGAAAAAGAGTGACCGCAGGACACCAGACTCCGGATAAAGGGACATGGGGTTGAGGAGAAACGGTAGCGTGAGAACCCATCGTAGAGGTTGTAGAGGTTGTAGAGGATGTCGAAGTTCTCAAAGTTGTCCAATATATATATCGAAGTATGTACTAATCCAGTACTTCCAGTAGTCCTGGTATAGCTCTTATAAGATATCCATATCCGATTAGATATTCCTCTCTCGGCTCAAAGTGAGGGGCAATCGGCCATATCTCCGATTGAGATTTAAGCTATTTGCCGCTATTTTGACGTGCGAACTGCCAATGTCGGATGTCAGAACCGACGAAGCCAATCTTGTACACAGTTCAACAAGCTAAATGAGTCCACTCTCGGCTCCTCCACCCGATCGACTAGTTGTAAATATTACTAATTTGTTGGTCTGATTGCGATTGAATCTGTAAGTGACTCGGCCTACTTCCGAGATATATATACTGGTTCCTCCGGTAAGCAACTCGGCCTGGAACCCGATATCACGTCAAGTATGATTCCTGTCGGCATTCCAAAGAATCAGGATATATATAAAGAACTGCTTGCCTTGGACAGTATAGCCATAGGTTATCCACTTAATAGTCCAATCGTAAAATCATCTATCTAGTTTTGCCCTTGTACAACCTCCAGTTGGATCACGTGGCCGGATGTTTGTATTTCCCGACCGGCGCTTGGTTGGGTATCGAAGTGCGGCGTCTTTACTTTGCCATCAATGCTTTCTCACACCCATCCCAGTGGTATAATCTGCAATGTCAAGCTAGGTCAAACTTGAACGGTGAGGTATTCATCTTTTCGAGATTCTGGACTCTTATAGTAACACTCCGATGGTACATTTTCTTCGGCCTGAAAGCTTCATCATCTGATTATGCTCTGAGGATTACAATATTCCACTTTTACATTCCCTATCCATCATACTAAATAAGAAGCTCAGTTTTATGCTTTCTGGTTACACCCACGAGGTTCCGATGGATGGGGTATCTTTTTGATTATTTAAACCTCGCGACCCCTCAAACAACCCGCATTTCCTTTGGCAACCTCAGACGCCTTCCAGAATGGACCAAGCAATGCTGACCAGATCCTTCTTCGGAAACTTGCTTCTTTCGACCATATTGAAGGCCTTGCTTCTGCTTTCTCTGGTGTACATTCAACCTCACTGGTGCTTTACCCTTTACCAAGGATCCTTCTGGTTGGACTGCTGCTGAATGGGCTCAAATGAACCATCACATCAGCGTCGTGGAATTTTTACACTCATTGCCTACTGGTGATGACTTCCGGCAGTTCACGGATGCGCTAGGAAACCATTTTAGAACCGTTCCATTGGAGACACTGCTTACGAAGACTGGCCTGAAACTAGTCTAGTTTTGAGCAGAACGGGATTTATGAAGATTGACTCGGAGGGTTATAAAAGTCTGTCATGGCATCCTTCTTGATTAGTGTCAATCTGTTCTTCATACAAATCGGTCAACCCACTGACGGATATGGTTGCCACTTCAGCCCTATGCCGATGAAGAAATTCTATAAATGAAAGTGGCTATCAATTAATTGAGTTGTCCTGATCTTGGAATTTTCGGTTGTATGTGTGAGAAATTCAATTCATTTCTGCCTCAATATTTCCAAGGCGAAGAAGAAAAGAGAAATATAGAACTCGAAATCCCAGGAGTGCGTCCCTAGACCTAGATTACCGGCATTCTCCGTTTGGAGAGTTGAAGAAACTGCGAGAAGTCTTTTAGACCTCCATGTTTACGCTACTAGATACCTCGCATATCCTGCGGTAGGATAAAACATATTGAGATAGTGTAAGCTGGACATTCTATTTCACTATAGCAGAACTGGAACATAAGGAAGTGATGTATTTCGACTATCCGCCAAGGTTCAATATAGACCAACACCCCTTCTAAACACGATCTGCATGATGTGAATTTACATCGTTTGACCATTGCTTGCCTGCTGGCTTGCTTCCTGTTCGCTTCATTCTTTCCTGCATAGGGAAGTCTGACGACTTCCACTTGGACAGCACATTGCTCAAATACCACGGTCGGGGGCCAAGACCCGGAGTGCCCGGCGGTCACGGCTGCTGGGAATAAGGCAACTATGTTGTAAGCAAAGATCGCCGCGGTCGGGAGGACAGGGATGTTCAATGCATGTCTGGATTCCCCAATAATTGCGTACGAGGTTGTGTGGTATTTTGGGTTTCAAGATGCATCATGGGAAACATGACTCGCAGCTTCCGTGTACTCCAGCAGGTCTGGAAATGTTAGAATGGAGATAAGCAATGGTCATGAGGTAGACAAAAGTTAGGGTAGAATGGAGTCGGATCCCACGGATGAGTTGGAGACTGGGAGACTTCTCGCAATGATGTCTATGACAGCCGTCTCTGGGGGAGACCCGTTCAAGTCAATATTTGCGATATTCTCCACGACCGCTAAACCGCATGGCGTTGGTGGCTCTTAGTCGTCTGAGCCTTGTACATCGTATCGTCTGCAAGGAGGATGTAAGTAGGATAATGTAGGACAAGTGCTCCGTACGCAGGAGGTAGATGTGATATCAAATTATTTGCTCTGTTTGCAGCCGTCATGTGACCTTCAAAACTCTTATCGGCCCCGCCTGGGGGAGGCGACCCCGGGGCCACTCAACTTCCGAGTCTTTCATTGGCAAGTCGGCTTTCGGGATCTTCTGTGGCGCGATTAAAGAAAGACCATCGACATCTTTATATTCTTATTTTCGATGGGTTTCTTCTGTGAATTTGTCTCTGATTTCTCTCCCCGCAATCAGTACGGAGTAACGCGGGGAGAGACTCCATAGTGTGTTAGAGCCCTCGGTAACTCTCAAGTGGCTCTCAAGTGGCCCTCCCAACGATTACACCAATGTTGCATTTCTTTTACCTAACCTTCCGAACCTTCTGATCGCACAACGGACACTAAACTGGGGCTGCCGGGCTGCGTTTCGCCTAAAATTTCAATGCAATCCACTTTCACCCCATTCGTAATGGATCCAATCCCTGTTTCCGGTGTGCTCGTTGGGTGGCCGATCAGCTGGAGTGGATCAGCGTCGTACTCCACGTGCTGGAGCAGCCAAGCAGAGTTCACAAAATCTCGTTTGTCAAGGCAATCCTGCTTTGCCTCCTGGTAGTGCCGCATTCGACAGTGCGCGGAATTTGTCTTCTTATATACCCGGTTTCCTCTCTTCCGTTCTGCCTGGCAGACTAGTCTCACCTCCACCAGCATCATGGGCTTCGAAAACATCTCTAACGACCATGACACCGACAAGGTGATGGAAACGGAAGGCGAGAAGGCCGCATATGCTCCCCCACCGCCGTTTGAGGGGGACATGGTCGGGGAAATGAGCGAGGCTGAGAGGAACCTGTATGACCACGGTATCAACAAGTTCAATCGTCTCGGTTGGAAGCGACTCACTGTCGTCCTCATCGTCGAGGCGATTGCACTCGGTAGTTTGTCGGTTCCCTCCACCTTTGCAACACTCGGCATGGTCGCCGGTGTGATCTGCTGTGTGGGCATCGGTCTCATCGCCATCTATACCAGTTACATTGTCGGAATGGTCAAATTGGCCTTCCCCGAGGTTGCCAACTATGCTGATGCGGGTCGATTGCTGGGCCATCGGCTAGGGTGTGGTCGCTTTGCATATGAGCTAGTCAATGCGATGCTCGGTCTTCAACTTATCTTTCTCACGGCCTCGCACTGTCTGACGGGAACCATCGCATTCCTCGACATCACCAAAAGCGGCATTTGCTCGATCATCTTTGCCGTGGTTTCTGCCGTCATCCTGCTCCTACTCGCCATTCCGCCTAGTTTCACCGAGGTGGCAATTCTAGGCTATGTTGATTTCGTATCCATCATCGCTGCCATTGGAATCACAATTATCGGGACGGGTGTGCAGGCGACGAACTCGCCCGGTGGACTCTCCGGAGTAGCATGGTCTGCGTGGCCGAAGGATAACATCTCCTTTACTGAAGCCTTCATCGCTGTGACGAACATAATTTTCGCCTACAGTTTTGCCATGTGCCAATTCTCCTTTATGGACGAAATGCACACTCCTCGAGACTTTATTAAGTCGATCTGGACGCTGGGTATCACTGAGATCGTCATCTACACCATCACTGGTGCTACAATCTACGCCTTTGTTGGCCAGGATGTGTCCAGCCCTGCACTTACCTCTGCCGGAACTACCCTCAGCCGCATTGCGTATGGCATTGCTCTCCCTGTGATCTTCATTAGCGGTTCGATCAACACCGTGGTATTTGGGCGTGTGGTGCATGGTCGCATCTTCGCCAACTCCCCCATTCGCTTCATCAACACTAAGATGGGCTGGCTGACATGGCTGGCGGTGATCACGGCCGCCACAGTTGTGGCATTCATCATTGCCGAGGTGATACCTTTTTTCAACGACTTGCTTTCAATTTCTTCTGCTCTTTTTATCTCCGGATTCACCTTCTACTTCCCTGCCATGATGTGGTTCATGCTCCTTCGGAAAGGGAGTTGGAAAGAGCCCAAGAACTTGATACTGGCAGTCATCAATGCGCTGATTTTCCTGATCGGTATGGTGGTACTTGCTGGAGGAACATATTCCAGCATTGATGATATCGTAAGTTTTTCTCTGGCGGTCTGCCTTGGGGCACGGATTTTATTACTAACTCACTCATCTAGATAATCAAGTACGCCAAAGGAGAAGTTCGTGGCGTCTTTTCGTGCGGTGCTCCCGAGTAAGGACAATTGTTTTCCCGTTATTAGCATATCTCAACATGGAATTATGAGCCTGATCAAGGTGCTTGTACAAAAATCCCCTCATTTTTGGTTTTGGTTCGAGATATGAAAATGCTTTTCTAGCCGGTGCATCTTCATGATTCAGCGAGGAATCGTGAAGCAACAAGCGAAATATGTATATTTATTACAGTGCTCTTCTCATTTAATACTCATGCTAAGCCATGAGATTCTCTTTAAGATTGACGAATAGTCTAAGATCGCCCCTAAAGTGGAAGCCAGCGAATGAGGACCTACATAAGGACGGTGAGCCACTCCGCTATTTATAGATACTC